TTTCATGCCGACAGGCAACCACTTTTCAAAATTATTTACGAGTCCATGGAAAGTTATCAGCTTGGATCAAATGCAAATACCAATTTTTTAATGCCTCTACGAGAGGCTTTAAATCGAAAATCGGTAAATGAATCCAGCTGCGGAAAGATCTCAACAGAAGTGCTGAAAATAGCAACTAAACTCTTTGGCAATAGCTATTAAGGGACATAGCATAGATTATCCATAAGTAGATAAAACAGTAAAATATAAATATAAAACATTTTTATAAAACTGTTTACACAATATAGTTAAGTCTCGAAAGTTCAATACATTCCTAAATAGAAAATACATTTTTATGAAAACAACACGAAACTAAGGAACTTGAAGTCTGAAATAAAATGATTGTTTAATTCTGGTTCGGATTATTTTTGGCACTTAGCTGCGCAAAAGAAGTGGAATGTACATATGTTTACTTGTGGTGCACATAAAGGTTTCCCATGTGCGCTCCACCTTATGATTAATATCGCTACTTGACGCCATTGAGCTTCAAAACTGTTACTTCGATATGTGTAAATAAATTTTAATGAGCTCTGCACGTACTGCCTTCTCCGTGCTGTGGGCTAATGAGTCTTATAGTTCAGGTAACCGAAAGGTTGTTGTAGATCGTTTTTACACGCAATGCTCTGTACATACTTCGAAACCGAGACGTTTTTTCCCCACATACAATACTTAACAAACTGCTGAATGATTCAACGATGGATCCATTTTCAACCATTCAAAAACTGTAGACAAACCATTGATATTTCGACTCGGCCATTCTAGGAGTGCAGCAGATGATCCTGTATCACCAAATAAATTCTATCACAACTGGGCAGATCTGCCTCTGATTCATCGACTTATAGTCGAGCAACCCTGCAAACCTACAAATCCCTTAGAGACCATTATGTCACGGATTGATTTGAGTTGCTAGGCAGTAGTATGAGTGGTATTTCACTACAAAATTGTCCATGCCCATCTCTAGTTCAAACATTTCTTTGATGAAATAATACATTCTGGCATTGTTTGTGTTTTATTTACGAACCTATTTTCATTACTAAATAAAGTTGAATAGAAACTAGCGCTGTTGTACCAAACAACGTACCAACTTACTGGACAATTTATGATAATTTTGTTTTTAAGTGCGTGAATTCTTTTAGAATGGGATGTTAACAATATATTACTTTATGTTTTGAAGTAACATTTTGGGTAGCAAGGAATAGCCACATTCAGCATGTGTCATTAACAAAACATAGACTGGCGATATATTCTTTCAATTATATTTAGAGTTTATTTCAAAGTTCTTTTCCCTTTAACGACAACCGGCCTGTTGCGAATGTAGCCCTTGCGACGTTTTGAGTTCTGGAAAACGGAATATTCATTATTATATTGCTTTCTGTGTAGAGTTAGAAACTTACCTTTCTAGATATAAAGTTTGTTGGGGGGAAAACTCTTTCGTTGCCCTTCAAAGAAGGTCTATTGAACTCGAATGGTTTTTTAACCCTGTATATACGCACCAACCAGTGCTCTGTAGTATACGCTTCTTCGAGATAAGTCAAATCAAAGTCTTTATTTCCGATCACTGCATTCCGAGTTCGGTCATATCCAGATGGTCCTCTGTAAATAAAAATTACATTTAAATATATGTATTACAGACTAAAGGTAAGCAAGTGGTACGTTATGTGATCAAGCGATCTTCTGTGATGGTCAAATTGTAATTCTTAGCTACGGGAATTGTCAATACTCACCTATAGTCGAGTTTTAGCTCTCCAAATCTGTAGTAGCTCAGCTTGTACATAAGGCAGTTAAGCAAGGCTGGAGCGCCTTCAGCATCAACCCTAAATTCGCCTCTGTCCGTAAAGTAATCGCTTTCTTTAATGTCTTTGGGGTGTTCTCCCTCGGCAATTCTAACCATCCAAAGGAACTTGTTTATGTCATCACCAGAGTACCCTATGACGCCACCAAATATTACAAGAACGTAATCCACATCCAGAGATGTCATGATTTCATAGGACTTCTCTTCAGTAGAAGACATTGCCTTTCCGACTAGTGCTATGTGACTGTTATTCCATGTATTGTTGTCCACTAAAGTTGTTCTGTTTGCCATTCCCGCTATCTGATATCCATAATCCCACCACGACATTATTCTTGCATCGTCAGCCGTATTTTGGGAAAGCCAGTAGTATGCCTCACGAAAATCATCCAAGATATTCCGAGATCTGAAAAAAATGGTACAAATTTAAAAAGTAAATGTTAGTAATTTAGTAAATTAAATAAACCAAATATACAAAGTATCAATTAATATCAGACTGTACTATTACAAGAAATGGCCAGAAAAACTTGAACATCATATTACTTACCCATCTTGACTGTTGTGGAAAGCAAGAACAATGGACGGGCTGGAGTACGCATTGCTCGTTACCCAGGTGCAGTGCACAGCAAACATCATTAACAGCATTAAAACTGCCAAAATTACAATACTTTTTAAATTTGAGCTTATTCCATTATCCTGCGGTGAGTCTGGTTTAGTTCGGTGCTTTAATTTTCCAGCCTGAAAGTGATAGTTTGAATAATTGTAATATACAAGATTTAGGTATTAAAAAAAGGAAATATTTGGATGAGAAAGGGGCCTATTAGAAAGGGCATATTAACAATTATTTACCTTATCATATAACGTTTTCTTTTCTACAGAGTCTTCTTGGTCCTCGGTTTCCGGAATGGTGCTCATGGCACTGCCCATACGCTTTGAAGAATCTTCTTGCAAGAAGACGTCCAACAATCCGGAGAACGCCACCCCAGCAAGCATGCATACCACAGGTGTAAGGGTCAACATTAAGCGCACCATTACTCCGGCGAAATATACGGCACTTATGGCATAAAGCACAACAAAAACTCGCTCATCGTTAATATGTTTGATGCAATACCAGACACCAACGGGAAAAGCGCATATAAGAATATGCAGATCGAAGAAAAATGAGAACCATGTGGTTGGCTGATGTTCCGATACAGACGCAATTATGGGAATATGAATCTTCGCATAGCCAGTGTCCCAAAGTGAGTAAAATCTCCCACTCCATGGTGCAACAACGCCAAAGACCGTTAGTAGAACTACTGCGATAAATACAGTTGCCCCTACAAGCAATGCGCCGACGAAAAATAGCTTTCTAAATTCGTGTCGCGATAACACAGACTGCAAGTGGCGCAACGTAGCCACACCCATAAGAAGGACGAATACGCCAAGTGCAGCCATGTGTTCACTGGTGCGTATTGGCTGGAATCCAACAAAGGGAATTTGCATGGAAAATAGTAGTCCAAGGATGTAGAATGTGCTGTAGCTGGTTAACAGACGCGGCGAGTATCTTCCCATTATCAGTAGTACAAACACATGCAGGGGAATTAGGTTGATGATGAATACATATCCTCCCCAAGCAGAAACCATGTAAAAGTACGAAATTGCAGCTCCTGCCGACCAGAACACGGATCCTGTTTTCACTGAGCGTACCCATAGGAAATATGTGAACTGAAGCGCAAATATGGCTATTCCCTCGTTATCATACGATCCAGCCACTGATCGGCTAATATAGCCGGGCACAATTGCTATAAAACTTGCAGCGAATAATCCAGCTCCAGACGACCATAGCTCCTTTGTCAATAAATATGTGGATATCGATGTTAGGCCACTGAAAACCGGTGCCAAAAATACGCAAATGTCACGGATATGGACAGGAATGTTGAGTACGTGGAGAAGGTAATGAATTCCTCCAGATGTTATCATTAATCCTGGATATACGGTTCCACCAACGATACGTCCCAGTGGATACCAAGCTCGTTCATCAAACCAATTCAGGAACTTGTACCATCCATGCTGCACCATGTACGCCGTGGCTCGATAATTAAACCACGGATCAAACTCGTGGATAATTGATTCAAATCGTATGACAGCAAAGAGGCGTGAAGAAAATCCGGCTAGCCAGGCAATCAATAAAATTGAAAACGTGATGAGGCTGCTGTACCCAGCAACCTTGCTGTTTAACATTTTGGGCGTTCGATTCATATCTTAATGCGAACCAGACAAAATTTAAAACTTAAAACCGGTCAATCACACATTTTCTATTTAGACACGTAGTCTAAAAATCACCGGTAAGATTGTCTACATATATTCACAGATGTGCATTTTTATCGATACATTCTATTCGATTGACAACCATCTCCAAACGATACGATAATGGTACTCATTTTATTTGATAAACTCGATGTAAAACAGTTTGGGGTATTTTTGGGATTGCCGATCGACATATCATGTTCTGTGCCTCAGATTATTCTTTCTATATGATATGTTAATAACCCAGTTAGCCTCTGTGGGGCAGATTATTTTATCTTTTGTCTTTCCCTGAAACCAGAACCGCTTCCCGATCGTTCCTTTTTTTCGTTTAAGCAATTTGTGAAAAAGTGAGTGTTTTACTATGTTTTATATTAATTTATATATTTCAGATCACAATTTTTAGGATAATATTAGCTAAGGCTAGAGCCAGAGCAACCAAGTTTCGCATCCAGACTACTGTGATATCAATGATACAAGTATATTTCAGAATTTCGCGCAGAACTAAAAACGAAGTACCGTAAAGAATGGCCATATGTATGTATTAGATACCCGAATAAGGATCAGATTGGAACATTATTATCGCCAGAATGATGAAACCCCCTTCAGTAGCTCTACATATTCTTACTCATTCCGTCTCGCTCGCACACCCTGAATCGTAAAGTTGAAGACATACTATAAGAAAAATTTGTAATTAAAAAAACAAAAACAAAAATATATACGCATGTTTTTATGTACATTTGTACATAAAATATACTGACTGAGTACCGGTTGTAAACGTTGCGACTCGTACAAACGCGTATCACAACGTTCCTTCTCGTTTTATATTTTGAACCATGCACAAAACCCAAACAGCATTTAAATTGCCTTGGCGGCTACTATTGAATTTTAAACGGAACAAATCGTTGCTGATTTATTATATACATATGTACATAAGTATTTATAAACTTTATACACAATCGACGCTTCCCTTTTTCTCTTACCTACATAAACACCATACTATACCACTATACTTTAGTCTGCACACTGTATGGACATATGTCCAAAACGAAGCGAAAACTTAAAATGTAAGTCTTAAATATACATAATTCTGATTGTTCTTTACATAGACTAAAAGGATTTATGGATATGAAAACCGTAACAAATTATTGAGGCGCTAAGATACTCTGGGTTATCTAAAAGTAGTTTCAGATTACGTACATATGTATGTATGTATGGATGTTCCGTGATAACAAATAATAATAGAATTTTCTAAAGCCGAATGCAAAGACGGACGTTCTTAAGTATATCCCATCCATACAAATGTAATAGACGGGAGGAAATCCCTTCATTAAACATGTTTCGGCACCTGGATCTGTAAAACACAATAGTATAAGAAAACGTTCATTTGTTTGTATTGATTATACGAACGTATCAACAACAAAAAATCCCCCGAAAGGATTAATCATTCTTTTAAATGCTACTTACATCATGCATACAAACATACATACATATGTACATACATACATTTTCGTATGTACAGATATCCTGTTTATGTTTCTGACTACGATATGAGATCCGTTGCTTGACTAGTAAACTCGATTGTATGAACATATATGTACATATGCATACACACATATTTATCCACATGTTTTTAAGTATTAGTAAGTTCATAGTGGAACTTGTGAGTTTAAACGAAAAATAGAAATACATACTATATGCTATATGTATGTACATATCTGAATCTGAGAGCAGCTCAGTTTGAATCATCACAGGTTTTGTACCAGTTAGTCTTCAACGTTAGTGCATACTCGTCTTTCATTCTTAGCTGTTGTTCCTCTGTGACTTATAAACATTGCAATGGACGAGGAACAAATGTGGAAAGGTTTTTTCGTTAAATTGCACGAACTCAAAATGAACCCACCAACAGAGCACGAGCATCAGTAAGTTCAGTGTACAAATGTAAAATATATCTACATACACATGTATGTACATAGAGTATGTAAATTGACTAGTGCCCCATTATGCAGACATTGTGTAAATATGTACATATGTATACATAACTATGAAAGTTATTGGGATCCGTTCTGTACCGATCTTACGCCACATACATATGTACAAACACACGTATTTTCACATTTATCGGTCCGTACCTTTCTAGTTGACTTCATATATTATAGCTTAAAAAATAAAGAAATTACAATGTGACTCACACATATGTATATTTGTACACATATGTATGTATGTTTGTATATCGGTCAGTGGAGTGTTTACGTTTACTCATATCTACTTGACTTTGTATGTATGTATATTAGCAGAAAAATATCTATTTTAACAAGAATGGGATATTATCACATTCCGTTAGAATTTGTAGATTAGGAATGCTAAGAAAACACAGAAAGATCAAACAAAACTTATCTGAGCTGAGCTGAGCGCACTAGAATAGGACAACTATTTTTTGTGCCGCTCTTACCAGAGCTCCCATGCTTTCTTTTATGTTTGCCGAGGCCACTTGTTAAGCCGGGTGTACATATGTGTGTATGTTGCGCGCGATATTGTGTTATTATTTGAATTATTTGAAATATGTAGCTTCATTATTTTAATTTTGGAATGAAATGAAATGAATATGGAAATTAAAATTGTTGTAGAAATTTTAAGTATGTGAAATTTAAGAGATTCATCTTGTCTCCCTTCCTCTTCTACGCTTTTCTGTCAAAGAAACATACAAGCAACAACAAAAACTTAACCCAAACAGAAAATTGCACTGGTCAACTTTTTCTCAATGGCTGATTCTCAGCTGCTTAGCACTGATCGAGAACACCATATCTTATATAGATGTGTGAGTTTATACAAGCATTTTGTATGCATACCCCAGCCAGCTGCTGCAAATGTATTTGCGTGCAAGACACAGGAATTAATGCGATGTTATTTTTTAGCGCTCTTATGGTTTTGTCTTGTCTTGGTAATAGCTTATGAAAATGGTACTCGTTTTCTATCTGTCAGTCGCACTCCGGACATGCAGGGTATTTTTCGTGCTCGAACCTGTATAGGTTATCCCTAAAATGTCCATTCCCTGTGACGAATTTTTTGATATAGGAGTTAATATGCCACATCTTCCTGACTGTCCAAAGCCAGCACCGTTTGCCAGCGAGCAGTGTTAAAGGCTTTCCGTACGTCCAGGGAACCATTGCACAGTAGTCTTACTCATAAAATAAAAAAACTGTAATATTTAATTTCGTACTTATTTTATAGGAATCATAGAGAACAAATCTGTGTCGTTTGCATTTACAAGTATATTTCAATTTATATTTCTTAGGTTACAGGATGGAGACGATGGGTTTTTCGAAAAATTCGGTTCGCTTTTACGACAGAAATCTCAGTTAAATGAAAACATTTTAAAAACACCATTGTCGACTTCAAAAGAGGATATTCAAACAGAAGAAATCGATTTGATTATAGAGAAACCTAATCATGCGGAATATCCCAGTATTGACACATTTGAGGAGGAAAGTGATTTACAAAGTGATACAAATGATATTAGTGATGCAGTTTTTGATTCTGGAACTGTAATGAATGTAAGTATATAAATATCGTACAACCCCTTTAAATTCGATTGGGTGTGCTTCGGCGCATCGGCTGGGGCTCACAGAAATTTGTTTGATCTCTGGATGTATTAGCTGTAATAGAAAAGGTCTCCTGGTTAAAGAATAAGGCGTGGAGTAAGGTGGCACATGTAGGTTTTTATATTTATTGGTATTAAATTATAAAGCATAATGACGGAATTTGATAGATTTTCTTTGGCACTAGCGATACAGTATATAGAAGTGCCAGTTCATACAAACGAAACGTTACCGTTGAATCTGCGGTATGCGTACCCCAGGCTGCTGGAAATGTATGTGTGCATGTGTTTTTACCGCTCGAGCCCGGGTTTGGCTTAACTTTCGCTTGTAAGAACTGGCACAGCTACATATGTATATTATAATGCGTGGTTAGTGGCTGAACAAAACACAGGGATTATTTCTTACCTTTTCCATACGAATATCATCACTGATTCCGTCGACAGAAAATTAAGCTTATCTGAGAACTGGGACTTTAAGGTACACATTACATGTCTTAAAAAGTTCAACAATGAAGAAAAGTTATTTTTAATGAATAATAAATTATTAATTCTACTTTTCATTACTTTGTAAGGAGATAAAAAATATATTTGACCACATCTGGTCAAACACTCTTCCCCGAGCCAAATATATGGCGCTTTTTATCAACAAAAAATAAAGCTGACCTGTGTACTGGTCTTTAGTCAAATCTTTAAATATATGACACGGTGCACATGCATATTTACATAAACTTGTCGTGGCCGGCCATGGTTCTTTTATCTCTGCATTGCAAACATCCGTTCAAAATCTATATATATATATATGTTTCTACCAATATGATTACCAGGTATATTGCCATATTTTCTTTGTAAATTTCGGAGTTTAATCTGTACAAGTTAATCAAAAAATACATTTCCGGAGAAGCTTAATGCATAATACAAAGATTTATTTATGTACATACATATGTATGTACTTATAACATCGTTCTATATTTATACATAAATCAGCATACAATGGGCAAGAAAAGAAATTAACTTGTCCGTACTTTAAAACATACATGTACAAATTATAATGTGTATTCTTTATGCCTTTTAAACACAAAAAACTGAACCGATCCTCTGCCTTCCACACTGAAAAATTGTTCCCCGTTCGATTCGAAATTGTTTTCGCATGCACACATACATATTCATATGTTTGTTTGTACATCCAAAAATATATAATCGTATTGAGAGTATACTTAGAATACCTGGCACATTAAGAACGGAAGGGTATATTTTATGTATACAAATGTATAGCCACCGAGTGACCATATATGTTGAATGTGTTGTAACTCCCTAATAATAGTGTTAGGTCTAAGAATTTTCTTGTGTCCATTCTTCCAGGAAGATGCTGACAATCCAGTTGATTTCAATAATAAATGTATTATTTAAATATATTATATTGGATAATATTTTGTAACTTTTAACAAAATGTGGAAAGAAACCTAAACCAATCCACCTGGGATCGGATAACTTCAACCCCTACGTTTCCGTGGAACTTTAACTTCTGATAAGATAGTTTAATTTGTTTATACATACATATGTATGAACAGTATTAGTATGTATCCAAATACTGGGTGTTTTACAGTTGGTATGTCGCTTAAAGCGCTCTCATTTGTTTTTCTTCTCATGGTCAACGTCAAGATATTTCGGATCTGGCGAATACTGTTGAGACCGTTGAACGCTTTTGTACTTGGGGACGCAATCTTTTTGTATCTATATGTACATTGCATGAAGATTGAACGAAGGTGGTGATTTTGGTTTTTTTGGTTTAATATTTTGAAACGCGGAGATTTTTAATCCAAGTGGATCTAAATAATTCATATTTTCCAATATGCACACTTAAAGTCCAGCCGCAGTTTAAATATGAGTTCTTTAACGTTTCCACGTGAATGGAAAGAGAAGAAACAAATGAGAAAAATTGCATCAACGCAATCATTAAAAGACCCACATGAAAAACGAATGTGCATTTTGAATAGAAATGGCAGCATATCAAGTCAGCACTTGCGGGGCGTGCACAAGCATTTACTTGATTCTCATGCGAAGGCTGTTTGCCACTCAATGACTGTAAGTAAACAATCAGTTGAGTATGTTATTGCTTATTTGTTTATGTACTTATATTTCTTATGGTAAAATTTGACTACTAAAAAAATCCTCACAGACTAACGAACTCTAGAACTAGAACTCTATCTATGCAGTGCATAACATTTTACAGTGGAAGTAGCAAATGTCAAATTCCTGTCTTTGCTGTGGGAAAGTGTTGAAAATAAACAGCTGCTGCTGCGTTCGATTTCGAAAATATCATAGTGGTACCAGCTGAAATGACAAAAGTTTTTGCAGATCGATGCAATGGATCATGGATCGGAGATTAAGTTGTCCTGGTGAACACGTCCAATGTGTAAAGATGATGTATTAAACATTTTGCTGGTGACCGCTCCCATTGAAACCATGAAACCATATAATCATTTATTAAAAAATGTCTTGCAGGTTGAAGATCTGTACGAGGAAATTTTATTTGAAATTTATAATAATATTGGATGCGAAAATAACGAAGGACGCATAGAAAGTCTTGTTGGATTTGTACAAGATGCCTTTAAAATACCGAACTCGACGCATTTGGAAATTTGCGATGTCGCCAGGCGGAAAGAGCCGCCAAATGTTAGACTTAACATAGAGATTATAAAGGCCGAGAATTTGCTGTCAAAGGATTCAAACGGCCTATCTGATCCGTTTGTTACATTGTACTTGGAATCAAAGAACTCACATCGCTACAACTCATCTGTTAAGCCCGCTACACTAAATCCAATATGGGAGGAGCACTTTTCATTGTAAGCTTTTTTTACGAATATAAAATGTATCTGTTAACATTTTTCCTCTATAACTGTAATATATATATACATATATCTTCATCACTGCAGATTAATTTCTTAGTTTTGGCTAAAAAACAGCCGATCTCACATTTATTTGAGAATCTAATAGATATGACCATAGTCCACTCTTCCGTCCGTTTCCTTCAGGAATTCCAGAGAGTCCTCGCTCAGAACGAGGTTGATCTTGATGATGGCTTTTGCTCTCCTCCACCTAGGTCACCTTCTATCGAAATTAGGCTCGTATCGTATCCGGCTCCGCAGGTTTCATTGTGACATATGTCATGGCACTGCCTAAAGTTTTGTTCATGGGTAGACCTTCTTCTGGAGATCCATTAGAAATCTGTCTTGTAGCTCGACTTGGACCAAGTGTCATTTGTAAACAAATGTTCAGTTACGGCAGGGACTGTTCGTTATTGATCCTTGCACTGTAGAGCAGTATGCTAGGGCGCACCGGTTCAGGGACCTTCAGCACGAAGCATTCTTACCCCAGCTCGAGAGTACAGTTATTGCGATTCAACCCGTTAGCCGTTTTGAGCCAATGACTGACAGCCAATATCACATTCATACATATTAACGATATGAACTATCCCATAATAAATGCCTCTTATAGTAATAAACTGTTTTTGTTTTATATTTATAGACCAATAGCTGAAAATCCCCGTGAAGAAGTCTTAATAGTCGAAGTTTGGTACGTATACACCAACACCTCTTGGCCCTACATCAGTCTTAAGCTGATCGCTATAGCTATCATTATCATATCGTACCTGAAACTACAAACTTTCGCTTGTCATGGATATAAACTGAACATTTACTTTGTTAACTTTTGGTAAACCCTAAAATGTACCCTCAAACGACTTTCCGTGCATTTGCTTTCGCGTTCCTACTGTTTAAACCAGTGGCAAAATATATTGCACAATTATATTGCATCAATTTCGGTAATATTAACATTTTATTTTCATTCAAACTTTTATTTTTAGGGACTTTGATGCTGCAGAAACGGTTAAGGAAAAAGTTAACAAAATAATGGATGTGAAAGGTGTAAAAGGGCTTAGTAAATTAATGAAGGAAATAGCTGTTACCGCCTCTTCAGGAAAACATGATAACGAGTTAATAGGACGAGCAGCAATTACACTCAAGGTATGTATGAGTATCCCTACATTGTTTGTATGCGTTGAATCTGGAAGTCCATGGCGCACATGTTATTTTGGTGATTCTGTCAAACTTATTCACTGCACTGTGAAATAACAAAAAAAAACGAGAAGGAACGTTGTGCAACTAACGCAGTGTCACTACTTTTATACATCGTACCGGAGCAGTATGTGACCGTTATATTTATTTTGTATATTATTTATATAATTTTTATTTTACTCACGGTTTTTAATTTAATTAGTCTATTCCAGTTTGTGGACTAACAGTATGGTATAATCTAGAAAAAGGAAACAAAGCTCGAAGTCGAGGATCAATTTTGGTAAATCTCACTCTAAGCGCTGAAAAGAACAAAAGCGTGGCCGTGCAGGAGCATAAAAATTTACTAAAGCTTTTATTGATGTATGAGCTGGAAACCTCGCAAGTGGCGTATTTTTGGTGGAGTGGAAAATTTAGTTCAAACGCTGAAATTATCCGATCCCAACATGCCGTTCAAAGTGGATTGAGTCCTGTGGATTGCGCCATTAGCCAATGGCACGCATATAGTATAATACATGAAACTCACAAACTGAATTTTTCACTATTTAATTCTATACTGGACATATTGACTCCAGTAATTAGCTGTATGCAGAAGGATTCGGAAGATCTTGCTACTTATTGGGATGGAGTAAGGCGTATACTTCCCTCTTGTTTTGCAGTGATACGAAAGATACGATACAAAAACGTCAGTGATCTGAACGTAACAAGAGCTGTAAGCGAGGTTCTAGATATTTTGGGAAAAGTTAAAGTTTATGAAGTTCCGGTGACAGTAGATCTTTTTCCAACGTCTGTGTATGGTTGGATTCATAGAGACGATGCGAATAAGATATGCAATATTGATTCTGCCATAATAGATGCTATTAATACCGGCACGAAAGAATGGCTGGAACATATTGTAGAGGGTAGCAAATACTCATCAGATAATGAAACTGATGAAGAAAAACTTCAGTATATCATTAAACTTATTCAAATGATCCGGTCTGACCTTCAACGTGCAATGGAATATTTCGATAAACTGTTTTACCAGTAAGTATTTAAAAAAAAATTTCATAATTATTGATTGATTTAATTAATTGATTTAAGAAATCCTCTATTGAGCGTTCAAGCTCATTTTTAGAAAAACTTCCTTTTCGGCTAAAGTGATTTTAATTATTGTATTGCATTATTAATTCCAGCAAAATTCAATTAAACTATTCCGCCATCCTTTATTTGTTATACGACTCAAAGCTAACTGATATCTGTAAATCAATTGTCAAAGACGTTTGCAATAACATTAAAAGATTGGATGTGCCAGACGATCAATTCGAATATTTGCCGAAAATCGATAATTTGAATATGGGAACAACATTGTTTGAACTTTATTTGGTGCTCAAGCGATACGTCCAACTAGGTAAAACTTTATTTTAAAACTTTTTATAGCTTCGTTGTGAAGTTTTGATATATGTATTTGTATATTATAGGAGAATCACTGTGTACCGACGAATTGGAAATGAGTGGATTTTATCAATGGTTTGAGACAGGTGTGACACACTGGCTTGACATTTCAATAATAAAGGCCCTCAATCGTATCCAGAAAGCAATAGATCTCGATCAGCTGGTTGCGGTTGACGAAACCGTAAAATACAGCTCTTCTGCCGTGGATACTCTTTCAATTTTTTATCAAATTAAAATATTTTGGCAGCAACTTGATTGGCCAGAAGTTGAGGGCTCCTATACATTTATAGCTAAAATTGTTAATGTAAGATCTTAACCAGACATATAAAACGCATATTCTAAACGGAGTATTTATTATTTCTAAACAGGATCTATGTCGATGCTGCATTTTCTACGCTCAAAGAATGTCACAAAGAGTCGAAAAGTTAACTAAACTCGGGGATAATAACAAGATGTTCAGTAAGCAATTTACAAGAAAGGTTTATCGTTTATTTATTTATTTTTTTACCCGCTAGTTCTATCAGAGGAGTGGTGCTTAGCTATTAACAATATGGATTACATCCGCCAGAGCTTACCATCTTTCATAAAGGTAAGGCTTTTTATACCCTGGAAGATTTATAGCCTTAACTACGATAAATTGTCCTGTATTCGCGTCACTTAGGAACTTGGCATCGACAATGTCATCCAAAAACTGGGAGAATATCGCACAAATTTAGAGGCTGACAGATGCTCATCTACTATTCATGCTGTTATTGAAAATGCATTAGACACCGAACGCAATCAAATTGTTGAGCTCATTGAAATTGTTGCCCATAAAATGGCACCCCCAATGAAACTCTATTTGGCCGAAGGTGCGGAAGTCCTTCATAAGGACTCAAATTCAATGGACCAGCTGATGATGTACTTAGAAAGTTCATTGGATACTCTCTACAACACACTTAACGAAGTTAACTTTGGAAGAATACTGGAAAGCATTTGGTCAGAACTATCAATAATACTGTATGACCTAATTCAATCAAATCTTGATGTAAGTATTCTTTCCGATAGATATCTGTCAATTTCCATTAAGTTTTATATTTTATAGAAACGACGGCCACCAGCATATTTCAAAAATTTAAAGGAAACTCTTCAGACAATGATTTATTGTTTTAAAATGGGTAACGTTGAAACGGACGTAGACATTTTGTCTACAATTAAAATTAGGCTGGACGCGTATGCCCTTGAAACAGCAGATCTTATTCATCAATATTATATTGAGCGTTTGGAATATCAAAAAAATCAACCTTTATCACCCTTTGGCCAACTTACCATTAGGGCTGAGTTTACAGATTCAAGTTTATTAGTAAGTAAAATAACTATAAGACTATTAAACAAAAAATTATACGTTTTTTTCTTTTTAAGCTTACCATTTTAAATGCGCGCAATTTGCTTCCAATGGACTCAAATGGCTTGGTCGATTCATTTATTAAAGCTAGTTTCATGCCCACAATTCGATTCAATGGTGTATCACCAGTTAAAACAGCTGTTCACCATAAAAATTGTTTTCCACTGTACGATCAGGAATTTTGTATGTAAGTACAAAGACCTTCCGAAAAGTCTTAGATTACATTACTCAGTAAAATTTAACTTTTTAGTTATTCTTCGAACCAAATCCGATAGATTTTGGGCTTTAAATTTAATCTAGAAATTAAAAAAATATATTTATGTCCCATTTTTGGGACAAAAAATGTTTGTTTGGTTCGAAGCGGGAAATGTTATGTTTGTAGTATTCTAATTTACATACATATATTTATTTCTTCAGTATTTTATTTTATTTTATTTTTTGTATTGATTTTTGTTTGTTTTTCTTTAGAATTTTGAATGAGCAGCAGCTGGCCGCAGGAGATAGCTTGATCTTGTTCAGTGTAAAAGATAAGGATCTATTTGGCATGTCGAGTCAGTACATAGGAGAATGCTATATATCATTCACAGATCTCAGGGAATCTGAAGGAGAACAAATAATTATGAACTTGTCTCGCCCAGAGTATACAGGTTACTAGTTTTACTTCAAAACCTGTACGTACATAATATAAAACTGTTTTATTTTAGATTCCGATACACTACGTGCTCTGGAGTTTAGACAAGGCGATAAACAGGCTAAGGACTTCATAAAAAAATTGAAAAACAAATCGTATTCCTAAGATGCAACATTGTCTTAAAATTTGATTTTAAAGATCAAAATAAATGTGGCATTTGAAAACAAATACTTTTATTAACATAACCTTAGGCTTAGTATTCCAGAGTTCGACAGGACATTGAAAACGTTCATTAGGTTACCGGAAGAAATTCTGGGATCGAGTCGGCCTAATTGTGAATTAAAGCAAAGAATATGGCCGCCCACAATATGGGTATCATGAAATCGAAATACTAGAGCTGTGCATACATTATTCGAATCTAGATGGAAGTAAAATTAAATCATTATAAATACGACTTTTTTAATAGGCGCATACAATTGATGCATACAAAAGATATGCAAAGGCAGTAAGTATATAAGTATATAAATTATATCTATATTATTAAACTATTATGCAAGATCCAAAATCGACAATTTTGTTTGGCTGTAAATTATTTATTACAAGGCGGGACAACAAATTAAGCTATATTAATACGAACATACATGTGATAAGTTATTCAGTAAAAATAAACATCATATTTTTGAAACATTTGATTGGAGTCCTTGTGTTCAAGCAATAATCAACAAAGGTTTCAAAGTAATAACATTGAGGTTTGATTCAAACACAAATAAATAAATTAAAATATTTTGGTTAAAATGGATTATTGCCGACGGCGTGTATTACGTTGCTTATCGAAACGCATTTCCATCTCTTCAAGAACCTTTGGTGTGTAACGAACAATAAGCTTCACTGAACCGATTGCTTGCTTTAACAATTCCACTGCCTTTTCATGGTTTTCTCCTTCTACCGACTGAAATGAAACATAATTTCATAGATAACCATTAGATAATACTATAGTTTTACAAGATTTGATCGACAATCTATCAATCAACAAACATTTGTAAGAACTACACAAAGAGATTTTTAACATACCACACCATTGACTGACAGCAATTGATCGCCTCTTTTGAGACCTCCATGTCTATCCGCAACTCCTCCCGGTATGATGCGAGATATGTATATTGGAGAATTTTGTTCCTTGCCTCCCATTACGTTGAACCCCAATCCTGTAATAGAATTCATAAAGATAACAAACTATACTTATAAATATGAGAGTGACGTCAAAAAGGAAGTGGTCAGAAACGTTTGTAACGTTTCTAACCCCAATGGGTATATATCTTATTGATCTTTTTAACAGAACGTCAATCCAGCCATTTATGCCTGCCTATATGGATAAATATAAAAGTATAAGATAAGTTACACTGTTAGCTATCCGAAAATAGCAATCGAGTGCCATCGTCATTTTATATGTTTATGAAATTTCAGAATCCTTCCACTTGCTAAAAGCGTGATAGTGTAGTAGACATTATTTGTATTGACCCTATTTATCCATTCAAAGTACATACATATGTACATACTGGTATATATGAACATATTTAGGACATTGAAGCCCACTTACCTTCTTCAGTTTTCGGCAGTTCGACTACTCGGGGGTGCGCATGACCCTCGCTGGCTGCAAAAGCAGCAACGGTTGCTTTAGCTGTCGCAGATGCACGAACATCATGTGAACCTTGGATGTCAACTGTTTCATATACGTGTTCATAAACTTCTCGGACCGAAGTCATAAAGTCTGAGCTTAACACCTTCTGCAAAGCAGCAAGTTTGGTTGTTGGAAAGTCCCCACTCGCTTGCAGCTTCTCCAGCAGCTCTATTGATCGTTTTACATCTGAATAAAGGAATTTAATACTTATAAACAGTCTTTGAAGCAACTATATTAACAAATTACCTCTGGACAAGGTCAGCGGTTCCACGACGTCTGCCATATTTCCATTAACTTTAAAAGTATGAATCTTTAAATTAACTTATTCTCTTCTGAAAATAATGTGACCTGATAGCTAAATGCTAAAAATAGAACTTTCATCCCATAACGCTTAGCAATGTCAAGCTACCGTCGTACTGTGGCGTCGATTTGAGACAGTGCTACATGGAACGCGTAGGGTATGATTAATGATTTCATTTGTTTACTTTTCATAATTAAAATTATTATTGATAATTAAGCATTTTGGTTGTGAGCGGCAGAACATTTTCTTGTACAAACTATTTATATTTCTGGACCTAAACGATGAACATATTGTGTCCATTCTGTTCTCTTGCTCTCTGCAACATAACATATATAATGTGTTTAAGTATTGTGCTCCACCTGCTGACAGTGTTCAGTTTTTCATATCAGATATTGCTTACATTTTCGCATTGTATTCCTTTTTTTGTTGGTACTTCCAACTATTATTATTATTATGAAAATTATTGAATTATATAGCAATTTTCAAGCTGCTATACCCCAAGTTCCGTTCCTGCTAATTCCAAAAAAGATTTACTGTTTCCGAAAAACAGTTGCAATTTAGGAACACATTCACGAATACCACCAATATTTCAGATAAACATTCAACCACAATTCGTTAATCTCTTACACTAATGAAACATAAGTTATCTGTGGCTTTATAATACAATTTAATTAAAATGAGTTTACCGCCTCTTCTTTTGAATCGCTTAAAAAAGCGTGGACTTGTAAATAAGCAAAGTGGTAAGCCTCTACCTAAATATACCTACATATTTCCAAATTGCACAGTGAGTTAGGCCTCAAACCTCAACCAGATTTGTTATGCTCCATTGCTATATGTATACATGTGTTCAATAACAATAACAATATTTTACAGATTCAACGTCGATATCCGAAGCAATCGAAGAAATTATTGCAGAGAACTATGATGATGAGGATACAAATATCCCTTACGTATACAGAGATGACAACAATTTGGAAATCAAACGCAAGAAACCAGACGAACAGTTTTGGTTACACCGTATTAAAGAACGAATCGGTGTAACGGAGTCACATCATGGATATAAACTTTGTCCCAACAAATACAATGTTTGGCACAAGTGCTCACTTTATTGCGTTAATAGATGGACGAGCACACACTCCCAACCAAGTCAAAAGTATCTTCGTCGTTTTAAAAGATTACTTCGAAAATATCCGATAGAGGCAGGTTGGAAAAAGGTCTATGATTCTGGTTGTAAATCATTTTACTTTTTCAATCCTACATCACAAACCGTATCGTGGTTACCTCCTTCCCACCATAGAGCTCGTGCTACTCAAAGTGCCGCAATGTTTAGAAAACAGCTGTCTAACACCCATGACGATTTCAGTTTAGATTCTAAAACAAAAAATGTTGGCTTAAATGAAGGTATGGATACCGAAAGTGGCATGAATATTTCAGTCCAGGGTTATAGTAAGAAGCCTAAAATGCGCGACTTGGAACGTAAACTTCAACGACGGCAACGAAAAGATAATTAAACATTTTCCATAAAAAAATTGATATAAAATAAAGAAATTGTCAAAAGAACAATCTATGCAATATACATATTTTAATTTATATATAAATAAGTGGATTATATTTTGTTGAATAAGGCGTCGAACGACTTAAGAATGTATGCTCACTGCTCGCCACTTGAATAGGACACTCCATTGGGCCAGTTTTCTTTCACCGGCCGCCCATATACCATAATACAGTCCCTCCGTTCGCATTCAACCACAGTGTTCCCGAGGAATGCTTTCTCTTATAAACTTTTCAACTGAACTATCTCTATCATTATCAAAATATTTTTATTTTTATACAACATTGTTATACACAACTATGAACACAAACACGTATTTTCTAAGTTCAATTTAATCCATGGAATAAATTTGCTGACTCGTGTATAAACACCTGGATATCCCTCGCGACCACATCCGACACCCCAGGAAACAATTCCGACAATAAAATACTTAACTCCATTAGACAACAGAAGTGGTCCTCCGCTATCGCCTTGACAGGAGTCCATGCTTGGTCTTCCGGCGCATAGCATTGTTGAGGTAATTCGGGTACTTTTATATTTTTGATTTCTGCATTCTGTAACAGACATAATCGGAACTTTTACTTGATTAACAATGGAAGGCAATGCTCCTCCTTCAGAAGTTCGTCCCCAACCAACAACAGTACCAATTCGACCTAAAAGTAAAGAATAAATCCAATATTAATAATAATAATTAATAAGAGAAAGGCAAGCCTCAAAAGCCTCCCTTTAAACAATTCTGAGAGTTTCTTCAATGATCTGATTATATTATAAAATTAAATATTATGATTGTGTAAATGGTTAATGCATTAAAAAAGTTTGTAAAATAAATAATGTATACCTGCAGGATCGTAATTGTATCGAGGAAGACAAACTGGCTTTATAATTTTTGAAAAGGCAATTGGTTTCCTCAATCTTAACAGTGCAACATCATTATTGTACGTATCAGGATCAAAGCTCTTATGTTTTATTACCGCCGTTACGGCACGTTGAATAGCCTGAGACTCGGACGTAATTTCCTGATCGTGATCTCCAAATATTATTCTTATTTTAGATCTTCTCAGTTTTTTAACGCAATGAGCAGCAGATAAAACGTAATCCTTAGTCAATAACGATCCACCGCAATGAAATTTTCCATCGTAAATAATTCGTGCCATCCATGGATATTGGTTTACACCTGTTGGTTTTCCGCCAACAATTCTTATTTCTTCATTTGAAAAGCCACAATCTATAAAGATATCATGTTAATTATTAAAAGATAAGATGGGGAAATTGTAATCTCATAAGATTTATAAAAAAACGTTTAAATGGAATCCTAAAAGATTGTTTGAAAATTAAAAAAATGCAAATCAAAATTAAATTTTCTTTGTGCATATTTGAAAAGAAATTAACTCCAATAATTAACTTCAATCATGTCACTCAAGCACGGTTGTCTAACGAAAGAAATATTCAATCTGAGCTACACATTTCAGACCCGGCCGATTCCCTCTCTTTGAGGTTTAATTCATCCTCTCAAACACTGTCATACTGAGCAAAATACGACCCAATAAGAAAATAGTTAAAAAAAATTCAATATTATTTCAACTCATTCTTAAAACTAACTTATACGAAAATATAATTATTTTCTTTGCTCCTATTATGATATTTTTCATACATTCACAGAAGACTACTTACCACAGTCGCAATTTTTAAGGCTTGAATTTTCAGTATACTCAACATCATCTTCCGTGTCAAGTCCAAAAGCGTTTGATACGCCAGAACTTATTCGAAAAATAGTATCAAATAGAAATTTACTGGTTCTTTTATGATTTATGCTTGAAGTTGCAGATTCATTGAAAGCATTATACTTTTCCGAAGAAATGATGTTGGCATAACTTAACATAGTCAACATCCAAAATAATAAAACATGCTTTAAATTCATTTTCACGAATCAGTTATCATTGTTACAGAGGTTATTAGGGTTTTATAGTGATCTACATTTATACATAATGAGTCAATATTTACATATGCAGACCACTATATATGTACAAAAGTGTACGTTATTATATTTTTGTCTAGATGGACATGTGTGTACATTATTTTTTCGTGTTTACATATGTATATGTATGTTTAAAACAATATTAACAATATAGTTTATAAATATGTCTGTAACTAGTTCATGTAAAATAAAATATATACTAATTTTTAACACCTACATATACATACATATTTGTAAATGCTTTTGGCATGTAGCGTACAAATTTTTTTTCCTTAATACAAAACTTGGGATTTAATGGAGAATTATATGAACATTCTTTTCTGATTAACTCTACCACTTTATAATTGAGAAAGTTAAAATTAAAATACTTGGTTATAATGATAATTTAATATAATAATGATCTGTAGCTACAGAGATAAAATAAATAGTCAAGAGTCAAGGTTAAAAGGTAGTGCCTAATGTAGGCCCGTTAACAATAAGTATAGGCGATCGACCGCAAATGCGAATTTTGCTTCTCCAATCATTCGATTAGATATCGCCCGGTTTTCGGAGCGATACCCGTCTTGGAATGAAGATCGATGCCTTAACATCCTTTAATCTGGAGATATTTAAGTGCAGAGGCCATCACAAATTCTTGCACAGACATGCTGCTCAAAGTTCAATTAGCAAAGGTATTGGATTCGCATTCGGCAGAGCAGCTGACTCAACTAGCTATCAACACTTTTTTAAAGTCAACGTTATACCAGCCATTCGACCATGTCTCGTCTCGACAGGACACACCTAGCCATAAGTGCACTTGGACAATTATATTTTTTACTTTTCGAGAATACTATAGCTAAGTACGGGAACGTTGTGCGTAAGTTAATAAAACTTGAACATTTTCAAATCATGGTGAAGCTGCGTAGTTTATTATTTAATAGCCTTTTCACACTGGTTACTCCTGCTATCACTATCGGAATATACGCAATGAAACAAAAAAGGCCCACACCACAATGAGAATCTGTGATGAAAGCAGCACAAATATTTCAAATTTAATCAATTATGGCTAAAACACGAAGAAACTTACAAAAAAAGAGACTTGAATCTGTATCTGCTGTGGACAAAAATGAAAGGGATGTTTTAAACTAAGCAGCAAACAGAAGGAGGCCTACGGTAAAATGGGCGAGATAGAACGAAAGTCCTAACGACACAAACGTAGCTCCAAGAAATCCGATTGAAAGCACAAGCGTCGCAAAACCTTCAGTGTACCACGGATATTCGTAAATGTAATAGCAAAATTGATTACCTTTTCCATAACTACTTTGATTAAATTCTAATAATTTGAAGAGATTCTGTAATTCTGAAATGGGTTTTCTCAAACGTGCCATAAGGAATAGTCAACTGAAATATGGTCGATTTTCTGGGTTCCATACCGCCGGTTCCATCCATTTCTACTTCTTAGGGACTTCCATCTTAATTTGTAAAAGATTCCTCCAATGTATCTGCGAGACTCACAACTATCTGTGTGACTGAAGAAACAGACGAGTTGAAGGAGTTTCAGCCAAATTGCCAATGCACGTGAATCCCATTCGTTTCCAGTGAATCCATATTGTTCACAATGGATAAATAAAAAATGTAATAAGACTTTGAGCTTGGAAAAAAAATTCATGGAAGCGGATTCTAAAAATTATCCTAGAACCTGCAACGTCCTAGAAGCGTTTGGACCCTTCTAAGTATAAATGGTAGTATTTTAGCTGGGAAACTCGAACACACAGGCCGAAGCTATAAGGAACGCTCTTTCGCACCAATTCCTAAAAAAACAATTCTTTCTAAATAAAGAATTTTAGCCATTCAACTAGAATTAGAATTTTGTTATATTAAAATATAAACAGTGCAATAAATTATTGTACAATTTCGCAGTATTTTCAGCAACAGTCTGCATCACCTCCAAATGTTTGACACTACTGGGCCCTAGTAGTATGCTCAGCGTATGTAAAAACGAGTATGAACTTTGTGAGACGCTTTGTGCGCGTCACAACTTTTATACCTGGTACACAGTATAAATGTACCATAACCTAGGTGTGACACATACTATATACACTTGATACATTGTGACCATACAGAAGTCGGGATGCAAGACTTGGTTGCCCTATCTCTTATGGTCTCTGTGTCTTACTACTCATCAGTACGGACAGACGGACAGACGGACGGACAGACAGATATAGTTTTAAAGTAGAAAGTGAAATAAGTACTGATGAAGAGGATAGCATTTCTCTTTCCCGATTAACTCACTTCCCGGATTAACCCACATATCAAGCTTTTGAGAATCGAGACACCTAAAGACACAGAGATCATGCGGTATCAATCGGTATCCATGGCACTTACTGAGCTCAGATATAATAACACATCAAATATAAGGTACAGGTAATATATTAAAAGATTTCATACATACACAGTATGCACGCATGAAACGTTTATTAGATTTTCCGCAAGTATTCTCAATAACATGCATTTCATTGAACATGTCTCTATATATAAATTGATATACATTTGCGAAATAGAAGTCCATCTTATTTTTAATGCATGTTTTTAGTTCTCCAGTCGAACAAGTCATCTACACGACATTCTTCGTCACTTGAACTTGAATCCGAATGTACTGCCACTTCTTTGTTGAATTTGCGCTTCCTACTTATTAGACTATTCTTCTGGTCATTTATTTTAATAAATCGTTTCCAATTGTCAATCTGTTCATCTATTTCCTTTAGTTGTCTTTTAATATTAATATTTTCTTGTTCTTCAGCAACAATAGTACTAGAAACTGTAGCAGCCATTTTTATTTCTCGTTGAAAGCGTATCCACTCTTCATCTTCGTTGGGATCAGCTTGATGAGACTTACTTGACTTCTCTGAATCGAAAAATGTACCAGGTAATGGTTCAGTTACCCTGGTGTCCGAATTTTCACTTTTTCGTACAGTCTTATCTTGGTATGTGCTACAATTTATGTTGGAAAGTGACTGCACAGATTCTTTTTTGGAAGTTACATCTAAAATAGTCGTCTTATTTTTCTTTGCCAAGTCCACATTTAATTTATGTTGTTTGGAGTTAACATGCACCTTCCAGACATTTGGCTTGATAACAATCCGGCATATTATGCATGTTAAGATTCCTGAGGCGTCGTATGTGTTAGCTTTAGTTAAGAAAACCAAAAATGTAAAGTGGAAAATTTAAATCGGTCTACCATAATATTTAATATTTTCAAAAATTATTTTATGTTTTTCTGCTCATTATCAGATTATGGTTATATTGGCTCATATAAAGTTGTACCTAATCCATAACACTTTTTAGCTGAACTAGTGACTAATCCCATAATAAACCATCAGGGCTTAAAGATAGACTGCAGTTCTACTTAAATGTTTTTATTGTTGGAATTTTTTCTTCTGGACAAAGATTTAAAATAATTTTTAAACAAATTTTATCGAGCATAAAAATAATTTAAAATGGTTTTTACTGGATAATGTTTTCAAATGCAATATGTGCACTAGTATACACAGACTCAAACAAATTCAAATTTTAGACATAGAAGAGCAAAAAGTAGAATTTCGTCTTCTACTTTAAATGTCGTTGAATGTACAAACATATGTACATATGTCGAAGGTTTATGATTTATTGGAAATAGATCAATGGATCTTGCTGCTTAGGATATTTTATGCATTTGTGAATGACCGGTGACGTCGGCACAAGTAAACAAATGTCTGCAAGTTCGAGCTGGCGGGAACCATGTTAATAAAATCTCAAGGAAAGTTCTCTCCACCACATTAAACAAATCAATCGTTCTATTAGTACGCACATATGTATGTATATACCTAAGTACGCACATTTACATGTATTTTATGTATTTTGGTAAAGGATATTTTGCCAGGGGGGAATCCACTTTGCCTAGAGGTTTTGATGAAACACTTAGTTTTTTTTTGCTTCTGTTGCTAAGCATGTTGTTCATGTTCTTCAATTTGTTTCTTCTTTTGTTTAGAAATAAACTATTGGTCAATTGAATTATTGTTCTCTTAAAACAGATGTTTCCTAAAAACAATCGATATCACTATCGATGCCACTATCGATTATATTTATGGTTGTATTCAACACTTTAATTCACTGTCTATCAGCACTAACCAAATTGTATAGCCTAGTGCCATGAGTTTGTATGGCTGTTAAGAATCTGGTCCTAGAGTATAGTGGAATATGGTTTAAATGGATCGATATACTATATAAGAATATGTATAACATACGGGCTCGTTGGAAGATCTTCAGGTTTCCTTCATAAGCACGGTTTATACAAAAATTCCCATGATTAAATCGGGAAGTTTTATTATTAGTCATTAAATTACCTAATGTTGCATATCCAACAATTTCTGCCGGTGCTTCTGGGTTTACAGCATATCACTAACAATCTCTTAAGTCGCAAAAAATGCAGGTAGATAAACTTCTGCATAGCAAGCTCAACGTTTTATTAAACATTAGGACAAAAGATCCTGTGCGAGCTCCTGCAATAGCAACATCATGCTAACCCAGGAACTAAAACCAAACCAAAAAGCCGCTTCGGCTTGGTAAACCGGATTGGAGTGCTACATCTCAATGAAAAGAAAATTCAGCCCAATCGAACATTTTTGCTGCAAAGAGGAGAACAACAGGTAGCAGCATGAAATGGTCATATGAGATGGCAGTAGAACGCCTAGAAGAGCATAAAAGGCAGCAATATGTTGCTATTGCAGATGGTATCTGTTTTGATGAATGACTTTAAGCGATCTGGAGTAAGTACTAATTCCAAATTCCAATCATTAGTTGTTTTCCTCATGGATTAAGGCAAGTGGGCCGGAGTTTCACATCTTTCTCTAACTCCCAACGTTCCCCCGGGATATGCTTTGTGTGCAGAAACTATTATGTGCCGGCTGGAATTAAAAATTTTGAGACGGTCAAATAAATCGCTCTCATATTATAAAATTTAGCATGCCTTACTGCAAAGAACTTGACAAAATTTCTTTGTAAAGAATTAAGTTAATGTAAATGTTGTACATGCTCAAATGGTCACACTCTGCCCCGAGCGAAATATATAAATACTATTTGTATACACACATATTACAAATGCCGTGCTGCACGAGGAATATAATGTTCTTGATGTTCATTTAATTTTTTACTTCAATTCGCGTTCCATTTTTCAAGTGGTCGCTACAAATCTTCGATTCCCAAAACAAGAATCGATGTTTACTCCAAAAGCAAAGAATCGATTAAAACGATGCTGGAATCGATTTTTTCCCAGCTCTACAAGACATCTGGAAATAAAGAGAAAATATAATATTGTATATGTTGACATCTGACAACTTAAGAATCTCCTAGTTCAACGCTTTCTTATTAATAAAGTACTTGTTGACATGGGCAGTATTGAAAAGGCTTGCATATCAGGGTTTCTCTGCCGTCTATGTTCGGAAATGCACAGAACTGTAATTCATATATATAGTGACCACGGCCAACGTCTATGCCTTGTTGAAAAAATTAACGGCTACCTTCCAATAACTGTACGTATTAAATCAATTTGTAAATAAAATGTTTAAGGTAACATACGCACGTTAAAATATCAAAGTGCCATGTCGTTGCGAGTATATTATCAATTTTGCATTATGTACATAAATATTTACATATATACACACATTTGCATTTTTATAGAATGTTTTGAGCATTAATATTGGGTTTGTTTATGTATGTATAAATGTACGCTTATTATATCCTCGTAATGATCATGATTACACAGTTTCTGAAAGTATTGCACAGATTCTATACAGATGTTAATATGTGCTTGACATCGAATTGGGTTTTATTAACCAAAAAATTAATCCCCAATTGTGGGAAAAAATAATGTGACAAGTGAAACAAATATAAAACAAAATGTTAAACCTTAATGTCCAGATATGTAAATTAATACGATAGAATAATACATAAGGATTAATTCCAAATAAATATTTGAATTTTTCAGATTTCTCCGACTGATCCGTTGCCAAAAACCATATGCAGAACATGTTTACATCGTGTAGAGCAACATTATTCTCTTTTGATGAGGCTTACACAAATGAGAGAGGAGCGAAAAATTAAAGGATTTGAGTACAAGCCAAGCAGAGAAACGGTGAGTTAAAGGTACATGCCAGAGATAAGTACATATGTACAGACATACATATGCAAATACTCTTATCCTTTGGACCAAAGGGAGCACAAGTCGAAAACAAGGTCACAATCAACACAAGCAAGTGCATTTTCAGATGTCACAACGTATGATGCTGTGGCACTGTTCTCCTAAAAGCTAGGAAATAAATGTTTGTACTTGTTTTATCAAAATCAATTTATCGTTCTGGCTATTAGATAAATCTTTACTCTTATCATGGAGTACTGGGTACAAAAAGAATCGCATACCACTTTTATTTTTAAACATAGAAAGGTGCCCTTTTTTGTACTCAAAGTATTAATATCAAACCATTTTTCATCACTTTACAGGCAAATGCATCAATATCCAGCGTGGAATGCTCTGATGAGGAAGATAACACAACAGAGCCCGTAGGCAAAACAAATAGACGACATGGAAGACCCACCTCCGAGTCCATTAAATCGAAAAATACTGCCAAAACTCATCGAAACAGTAGTGAAACTAACGATGAAAGTGGGTCTGGATCAAGGATTAGAGAAGAAAAAGGGTCTGGAAGTCGTGGGACAGGACAGAGCACTCCAGCACTAACGTAAAATAATGACTGTCAGACTAGTCAATGGTTTAAATATCATTATATGTATATAAACATATTTATACATACATATATATATATAAAAAAATATGTGAACATTTGGAAAGTATGAGTAAAATAGGCCATTTATGAAAATCGATGAACCTACAACAACCTTCCAACCATTTAAAATCAAGCAAAAAAGGCTGGAAAGCTTGTACTGTTCACAAGCTACTGCTCGCAAAGATCGATCATTCATTTAACAGATAAATCATATAAAACAGCTGTAGACATTTTAAGTTACATCTCGAGAATTTTGAACGAACTAGACTTAAAAAATTATTGAAAAATTATATCGATACAGATTAAGCTGAAACTTGTAAAGATTGTTTGGATTATCTTAAGTAATAAAATAGATTTTCTCTCATTCCCCTTTTAGTACAAATCTTGCCCAAAACTACTGACATTAGCCATTTACATGGTTTTTATTATTTGTATAATATGTATTTGTATATGTTTATAAAGCGTAGGCCAGTATTTGTGCCTGAAACTATGCCCTGAAACGGATAGAAGTGGGCAGTGTACTCAGGGTACCTGTTGGCTTCTAATGGTCGTCGAGAATTCTGTGGGCCAGTTCTGTATGCGAATTTCCGCTGTTGCAATATTCTGCCGATCCGTAATTTATTGTGATCGTCTATCGTTTTTGATGCAATAATTCATGGATCGGATTTTGAGAAATGGATCGTGAAGAAAGTACGATCCATTGCACTCGTGCCCAATTCATTGCTTTTGGCTTATATCGATAGCTTATATATCGACAAGAACACGCGGAAAAAGAACGTAAACGAAAACTAATAATTTAAAAAATCTAAAATTCCGCTAAATACTTCGGTTTTATGGAAATGCTCCAAATTTAAATGACCGAGCTTTACGTTTCAATATCGGTCGTTTCTCAGCCGATTGTATTCAACAGTTTCGACAGTAAGGTATGGATCGGACGCTTTTACCTACAATCAAATCCCGATCGTTGCAATGGATAGTGGATCGGTGATCAAGCCATCCTGGTGGGTAACACACAGAAAGGAAACGTTTCCGACTTTATAAAGTATATCCCATTGAGCCCCCGAAAAGGACAAAAATCTCCCACATCCACATCCACATCCACAAAGATAAAACTAAATTATGCAGCTCTATGCAACTATTTCCTCGAGCAAATAGCTGTATACATATGTATAAAAATAAATCTATATACAGAGTACCGGGTATAAAAGTTGTGATGCGTCGTTCAACGTTCCCCCTCGTTAGACCTGGGTGAAAGCTATTTTGTCTTCTACTCTTTTGCGTGCGAGCTTGTGACCACCCAAAATAATTATTTAATAAAAAAATTAAATCCGGAGAAACAGAAACAGGAATAACGTTGTGAGTCTATTACTAAAAATACTTTTGTCCACCTTGTTCAGTCAGTATATGTACTGCCTCGTCTTTCCCCGTTTCTCACGAGCCCAGTCGCGCTGAAGCCGAAATTTAACTCCCCGTAGGCTAACTCTATCGGGGATCGTGACTCCTTGCTAAGGACGACCACCACTAGTTCGTGGGGCTTTGCGTTGCATCAAATTTAACGATCTTCTAATCTGCCGTTGGAAAGTGCGGGTTGCACCGCTGTAACATAGTGAGGAGTCAGGCACCCATATTTCGCACTCGGCCTACTGGGAACTTCGCGCCAGTCTACTGCTTTCTACAACTGAACGGAGCTCTCGTCCATTTAGATGACGTCCAGTGTCGCCGTCATTCCACTTCCATTGGCTCCTCGGAAACCTGGGTTTCGCACCGCTTCTGTCGATGAAGTATATCAGCGTCCTCTCCTTGGCAATCTGCGCCAAGGTCACATTTGGCAGTAATCTGGATCGTTTTTGCCTACAGTCCAGTCTTCTCCTGAGAGCGCTTCTTTTAGGGTTGCTAGGCTTGTTCCTGCAGGACCAAACTAAAATTTGGAAGCAGTCGGGCGGCCCATATCACCTTGAAGGGCTGCCGAATTTTTTCGCTAGCTGTTCAGTTAGTTTAAAAACCTAAGTAGACAACGTATATATAGTTTATTTGTGACAACAAATGGGTCGGAAAAGATCGAGAGTGCGATGCGTATACGCAGATCTGGTAAACCAGACCAAAGATTTGATTAAAATAAAATTCGTTTGTTGTTTATTTTCTAATCCATAAAATAATTTTTTTATTTGGAAGAGAGGTAAATTTGAGCAATATGTACATGTGTATGTACGCAGACCTATTTGGAACACTGTACTGGGTTAAAGTTGAATTTTCTTAAATTCAGATAGTATTGCACGATCAGAAGCAACTGGAACTGGAAAAGGAAAATCAAAATGTCTCTTTATTTTCGAACGACATTTTATATTGATAATGTGGGATATTATTAATTTAGAAACAAAAATACGCTTCGTACTGATGTAAATACATTTGTATGATGTATGTACATGTATTTCTTAAATTACAAATGCATGTATGTACATACAAATGTTAAAGTTATGCATAGAGTGGAAATGTGTAAAATTGTATCACTCTAAATGTACATACAGATATGTATATACATATGTATGATTGCTAGGCTAGGCGATAGTGAAAAAATATGAGTAACACCACCACCCAAAATTACAACCCATGTGCAGAAAATCGATATTCTAGTCAAACTACATGTACATATCAGCTTGTAGTGTCTACCTCGTGCTTACGTAGAAAAATGAATTTTTTTAAGTGCAATATAAATAAATATATCTACACATATGCATAAATATGGTTGGATTGTTACATTCTTGTATACAACAGAGTGATATTTAACCTATTGCTTTTTTAGCCTAAATTGGTTGCTCACTGTGTGGTAGGCTAGACAATTATTTAATATCTTTCTTTCTTTTTGTTTTTGCTGAATTTGTGTACATATATGCGTACATGCATATGTACATACATGTGTACATATGTATGTGTGAACTTGTGGATACTATTTTCGGAGGCTAGATTCAACGTTTTGTAATGATCGATGGTAAAACTGGATAATTAACAATGCATCTTGTTCGTAGTAACTTTTTCCAACGTGATGAGTATTTGAGATCGCCTTCAACAAAGATTGGAGTCCAACAACAGAATTTCCATACGTCGTACAGGAGCTATCACACCAACATGAAAGACGCGCAAGCTGAAAAAAATGTAAATAATACATTGGTTAAGCATAACCAAAATGTAACATTTGTCCGGAGTAGTGGAATCACTAATGGAGCTGTTTTTCATGAGAATGTTATTGAAAATGAGTGGAACTTCCCTCCAAAGGTGCCAGCTCCGCACATCTACCATTGCATTAACCCAGTAAGTCAGAAAATTAATGAAATCTAGCTTCGGTGCACCGAAGTGCATATAACTTTGAAAAATTGTGGATTTGTTATCTATTCCGATCGTTTTTATAACTATAACTATGATTTGAATGTGTTTTGGAACCTCGAAAGAACCTCATTACGAGGATTTTAACGTTGCCCTGTTGATGTCTAGATGTAAATATCGGGGACTACTCAAGCGGCAGCACCCTTTGGTCGGTTGGGATGTGTCTCTAACTAGGAACTGACTGGGCTTGGTGGCGCATGGGCCCCTTGATGGTTCAGTCATTGTAACTGACGTTATCAGATGCTTTTAGAGCGTCTCTCACTGTCTTTCGTTCTCTCTAGTAGGGTAGCTTAATAATAAAGTGTGGGGTTTCATTGCATGTACATACATACAATGAAATTAAAATTTACATACATATGTACATATGGCAAAAATTAATTTTAATGTTTCTTTATTTTTTCAGGACTTACTGGTGGGAAGTGATAAGAACGGCTTCAAAGGACTCCGTAAGCAATTTAGTGGGCGATTTAAGCGCTTAGTTACTCGAAAAGTAGAGCACGGCCCAGTGATACCCCCGGAATTAAAGCCACAATTAAAAACAATTTACGTTTACTAATTTTAGAAGAATCACTATTTGCGTATATACAATATGTATGTATAAATGTACTTGTATGTATTTTTATATATTGTAGAAAACTTTAGTGATAATAAAAGCAAGATAAACTAAGCTACCTTGTTAATTGACATTTCTAATTATTAAGTTCATCATGCTTAATTAGTTTCATTTTCGTATATTTTATTATACATCTCATATTTTCCAAAGCTTTTTAGATTTTATAAAAGAAAATAGTTAAATCCAACAAACGCCTTTTTATTTTGTATATCCTAAATATTTATTGATATTGTTGTTATGTATGGTCACACAAAGAACAATTTGCTTGACGAATGTGATCAAACACTTTCCCACTAACTAGGCGAAAATTGATAACGAACAAATTGTCAACGAGTAAACATTGAAAATGGATACAGGGAGTGTGATTTACGAAATGAATTTGTGGTCGAAAAATGTAGCACACCGAAGGATACATTCCGGACCTTCTAAAGTATATATATTTTCAATCAGTATCAATAGTCGAGTCGATATAGTCACGATCAGATGATCGCCCTGATGAGCGCCTAGTTCTCAGAGACCATAAGAGCTAGAGTAACAAATTTAACCAAATTTAAAAGTTATATTACATGTGTATTTAAAAAATGTGCCCCCGCCTTCTTCCGCTCACAAAAACGCAGTTACGTGTATGTATGTACTGACGGAGTGCCGGGTATAGCATTTGCGACGCGTACGAACGGGTCTCACAACGTTCCTCCTTTTTGTTCTTCAACCTTAATGTTCCCTAGATTTTATTTTAACATGCTCTGGGAATATTTATTTGGCTATGAGTGAAAGCGCATTTTGCCCTCCGTGAAGAATGAATTTCAGAGAATTAAGCTCGTTCCGAGAATAAAAGGGAGAATGGAGGATTCAATACGTTCTCATGAGTAAGATTTATTGCACTGCCGTAGTGTCATATCAGCAAATGCGGTGTCCGGCTGTCCTAAATTGTCTCGGATAAATTCGAGCAGATAAGAGCAAAGACGCTGTTTTCCATTTCTTTAATCCACCAAATACGTTCACCTAAATATAGAAAATTGTATTTTTTTTTTTTTTTGCAAATTAAAGTTTATTCATTGTGTCTAAATTATAACTGTAATTGGTTTCAAGTCAAAAATGTTTGAAGAGTCTCAAATGATAATCCTGGATTATTTAAAGATTTTTGATTCTGGACATTATATCCTTTAAAATTAAAGCATCGTTGAAATCCAGGGTCTAGCCTTAACAGGGATTGAATTTTTGGATTCGACAAGCCAAAAAATGATTCTCCCTGCGCGTTAAATGGTATTTTGACACTTTTATTAGAATACCTCTGAATGGTATTTAATAGTTCTGCATGACACATATTTGGGGTTTCTCCAAAAAATACACCATCCAAATCGTTATCAGGTATTATTTGAAATTGAGGTACTCCCGCGTTATTTAAAATTTTACAAGTAAATACACACTTTTTTGATGGATCTTTTGGATGGGCGTAAATTCGGGTTGCCACATAACCAACAGGATATATCCAACTCTCATTATGGAAATTTGAACTCCCCGATATATCGCCTAGTGAATGTAGTAATAAATTATTTAAGTGAAGTGGAAAAGATTTTTTGATTTTTGATGTAGAACCATTTTGAGAATCCTCTTCAATTTCACTGGGATATAAAATGCTTTGTTTATTCTTGCTCAAAGCTCGTATGAAATTCTCATTAGATTCGGGTTTTCCATTTATAACGCAGTTGCGTACTATATTGGCCTTTTCTAAACCTTCGTAAAACATTAGTCGCTTAATTAGATAAATCCTTTGTGATCGTGTAGCAGCTAGTTCAGACTGAAGATGGCAGATTTCATCAGTAAGGCAGGAGTTTTCCTAAAAATAAACGTAAAATGTAGTAAATTTTGGAAAGAAGTTATGAAGATTTTAGACAAGTGCATACTTATACAATTCTAAATACATATTTGTGTAGACCTGTTTCAAACTCCAACGACTTGATTTCTTTCTTGAATTGTTCTTGATGTCAAGTAACAAACCGATTCTCGAGTAGCTAATTTCCTAATTTCCCAACTGCATAAAAGCTGCAGAAATTAAAAGAAAGTGTGGCCTGGTCTGAGACCTCGACACTTTAGATGCAGGGGTCCCTGTGTTGAGCCCTGGACTGGATTAGCATATTCTGTCCATCAACTCACTGAAATTAGGCCGGAGCTCTGGAGCTCCCTAGTAATCAGCTCCATCCCTCTTTTCCACTCTTTTCCACCCAGTCAAAAAACAAAAATTTCTTCTTAGTTGCCTATCAAAATGCTAGAGGGTTGCGTTTTAAGCTCATTGAAAGCTTCGTTTATCCTCCCAAACCAAAAATAAACTTGATTCAGTGTGATATAAAAGTAGTCTGGATGCAAAATGAATTTGCTCTAGCTCTGCTAGTCACTGAGAAACAGGAGTCAAACAAGACGGGCGGACAGACGAGCAGACATACAGCTATATCGACTCGGGTTTGAAGCACTTGGAGCACAAATCTAACATGCCCCTTTAACTTAATCCCTTATCCAATAAAATAGGGCGCAAGGAACTTATAACAGCGATCATCAAAGTCGGTTTAACTGGGGCGATCTATGCTATTTTCGCGTCTCTTTCCGATATGGCATATGTTTCCCCTAAATACTGAAGGTGAAGCCTACTTTAAATGTATTTACATACATATGTTACTATAGTGTAAATATGTATATCGGCATATCGCAGAACGTACTTTATGTACATACATTAATTAGTATGTAAGCATCTTTAGATGTGATGTGGTGTTCATTGCATAGAAATCGTCTATACTTTTACTGAATAACTCTAAAACTAAAACAAACAAAATCGTTTAACTAACAAGTTCCGATCAGCAGATTTGCTCTTTAAGGTTTTACGAAAACACACAGATTTTTGTCTTACCAGTATATACAATTTAATACACCGTTTTAATCTGTCGTATTTGCGCTTATAATTAAAATGCATGATTGCTTTAAAAGGTGAAACAGAGATTTTAACAAAACAAATCTTGAATGTATTGTGAAACTATCGAATCACTATCGATGATTTCCTTTCTTTGATGACCATCGAAGTTTTTTTCCGATGTTTCAAATAAGCTTATATTATCACTTACATAAGTTACTTATCGATAGTTGCGCTAACACAATAGCTCAGAATCGGCGTTCACACTTGTACAAAGTTGAGTTATTAGACGCTAGCCTCACGTGGAAGAGGGGAATATTGTATTTTTAATTTTGTGGGCTGATGTGGGCGGGTCCAGGCACTAACCAAATATATACTATTTGGTTAGTGGTCCAGGGTATAAAAGTTTTTATGCGTTCCAGCGCGTCTCAAAACGTTCCTCCTCGTTTTTGGTCTTACTTATATCTGCCATATTCCCTATTGATATGAAAACAATTTTGCTAGCAACATATCATATATTCTTCTAGCGGCAGAGTGTGGCCAGAAGTTTGCTGTGAATGCCGTCCGGCTTTCTTTTGTTTACTTTGTGAAAAATTTAGAAAAGTTTATACATGTGAATTATAAAAGGAAGCAAGCATGAATTTACTATCTAGTGGGATGTTGTAATCGTTAAATCCTATAGCCCCTTGTTAGGATTGGCTCTATTGTCTTCCATTTTAGAATGTTAGGTAGATGGCCCTTGCTATACAAATATCCCCATTGGCTTGGTGAATGGGGATTGTAGTGGCTGATTTTGGCCAGATTGTCTACCATACAGGTGAAAATTTATCAGACATCTCATGGAGACTGAATATTATTCCGTGTTCGAGGGATTTTGCTTCTAAAAGTTTTCGCTCGTCTTCATATCATTCTTAAGCCTAGAAGTCAGGTAAAGGATACCAGTTAGACATTATATACTGCCTTTGTAAGATTAATAGATATATTATTTCACCTTGCTTGAGTACTAGAAATTGTTCAATTTTCTTGAAAATTACCTGTTGAACAGTCGGGCTTGCAAAACAAAGGCCAACAGCAATCATTTTTTGAAACAACAGAAATACATATACATTTTCGAGCTCAAGAACTTCACAGCAAATGATTAAGAAACCTAATTTCTCAATAATCTGCTTGATATCTACAATTTGTTGTTTTCCCGGTATAGCATAAGTACACAAATAAAATGAAAAAATATTCAATATGTACCATTTTTCACTGTTTCAAATCGACTCTAAATTTTGCATAGAAACCATTCTGTCAAGTATCAGTTTGTGACAACCTTCGATTAGCCGCCTACATCGTTAGTAGACATATCGATACAAATTACTACATCAGGCCAGTCGCTTGGGAAAAATCTGCCAACTTTTGTGAAATGAAAATTAAGAACATACATATTTCTTATTAATATTAAACAAATTAAAATGGTTTCCATGCAATTCGTTTTGCAACCTCTTCCTGGTAATGATGATCAATTTATTGAAAGGTAAATATAATAGTGTATCTGCGCTCATACGCACATGTGAACATAAAATTACTCGTGAAAATATATATGCACATATGCACATGCATACAAATGTGCTTATATATGTTTCACGGCTAGTAACATATTTTTTTTTTGCTAAATACGAAACATTAAATATATACAATATTGATAATGATGGTATTAATATCTAAGGCAGTTAAGGCAGATACAAATGTGTACTTCATCTGGCTGTACATATGAATGTGTGTACAAATATTTGCCAGAATGTGCACAGAAGAGTAGGAAGAAATTAAAGTTAACCTGTTCCCATGAATTCGTATAGAACTCATCATTGCGGCAGTAATTTTTATTCTAATTTGTACTTTTATTATATTCGCGAAATACTTTTGTAAAATACTAGAGAAATTCGTACATACTGGTAAACTATCTTGCGATCGTAAATACATATGTACGCACATGCATATGTACGTGCTTAGGCGCATACCCATGTATCTACATGCAAGTACATACAATTTTCCAAAATGTTAGAAATATTATTTGTCAGTTCAGATTTGAAAAACCAATTACTGGTATGTAAATATGATCACATTCAGAGTGCATATCTATTTATTGCAAGCCAATCAAATTTGATGTAATTCTATGTATATACGGCTGCTTACATACATATCTGTAAAAGCCAAAGGGCAAAAAGTAATACTAACGATATCCTAATACTAATGATAATAGTTAGCTAATTGCTAAGTCGGCAGTCAACACATGTTGAAGACCCTGAGTAAATTCGCTATTTTCCAGGGATGGATAAATATGAGGGTCTATAGGACCTCATCTATATCAAGATATTTCCTGTATGAGTTACAGACCACGCCAGTGCGCCGATCTGCGTCCATCAGTCATGGCATAATGAACAAAAATGAGCATGTTCTAACATGTTCACTATATTTTTGTTCAGCTGTTCACTCAAGTGCTCACTTTTTCACTTAGTTTTTTCCAGATAATTTTAAAATTGTTCAGGCATTATTTTTCACAGTCTTATTTGTGCTACATTAAATATTCACACAAATATATTTTTGGCAATATCTCCATTATCGAACATCAGATAAAAATATATAAAAGCAATAAAACAATGTTGCCACCAAGCTGAAGGTTGTTCCATGATAATGCCACAATAGCTAACCCTTTAAAATGTGAGCAAAAAGCTGGAGCACAACAAACGATCAACAATGCGGTTCTTCTAAATTCTAAATACATTTATTTATTAAACTTTTTTACTTTCTTATAGAGTACGGGAAGTTTCGGAAAAAGTAAATCGATTTGGGTATGGCACTCATCGTATATTTGAGCAATTAAAAATTCCAGTAAGAGAAGTCGTGATTGGACCCACCCATATTGGGGTGCTTCTTGAGGATGGAAAGGCTTTTCGAGTATCATTTTCCATCAACTCTGAGAAGCTTGATTTGACAAAATCTGATACGAAATGGTATGTTAAGAATTCAAACTGGTTTGATTTTATGTTTAATCGCTGTTTCTTTATAAGTCCCACAACTGGTAGCGGTGGAACCACCAATACTTCAAAGGCTCCTTCATCATCGCGTCCCATGGCCCGTTCCAGGGCACGCCTTTTGCGTGCAACTGGACGGTCAAGCTCAAGTGGCCAAGGATCTGGATCCAGAAGTACAGGTGTAATTATTGGAGGCAGCACATCTAATCGTCCTCTGGTAACTGTTCCAGCTACCTATGTCCCAGAGGAACTAATTTCACAAGCAGAAGTAGTTCTACAAGGCAAGAGCAGGAATCTCATAATAAGAGAATTGCAGGTAAGAGTTTAATTTGTACAACCTAATTCAAAAACTAAAAGAAATTCTTTAACAGCGCACAAATTTAGATGTGAACTTAGCTGTGAACAATTTACTTTCGCGCGACGATGAAGAAGCTGAAGATACAGAGGAAGGTGCGGACAATTATGTGCCCGAAGACCTTATATCACTGTTGGACAATGGTTTTAGTGCAGATAATAACAGCGTTATTATCGATCCTTCAGATGGACTCTTTTCAGAAGAAATATTCAGCAACTATTCAAGCATTCGAAAGTAAGTTGAAATTAAATTATTTATAAATGAAGACTGTTAGACATTCTATAAATGAAAAGTCGGACATATCGTTTGTAAATTAGTTACATACATCTTTAGTATGTATACAGCTAAGAAAAAGCTCAGAGATAATCCTGTAGGTGTGATAGACCCCTCGACTATTCATAAATCGATTCAATGGTAGCTCTAAATTGTGTTCCGATCGAGATGGTTCTGATAAATGATCTGCCTATTCTTTTAAGAATATAAAATATACTGTACTAACAAACATATTTTTATTTTAATTTTAGTTTATTGTTCGACCGTATACGTAGTGAACGCAGTAATTCCAACACAAACAATGCAGAGAATAATCAATCCAACCGTTCAACGACATCAGGAAGTTCCATATCTGGGAACAGTGGACTCTCAGCTCAAATATCTGTTAATGCTGATCGTGAAGCCTTCAGTCGTTGGCGCGATCGTCAGTATTACGGACCGCGTCGCTGGATAAGTAAAGACGATTATACATGGGAAAAGGATGCAGGTAATTTTAAGAAGATATACTTTCGTATCATTCTTTATTTTTAAATCTAAACCCTTTTTTCTTAGATTCTAAAAAGAAAGAACCTTCATCAATGTTGTCTCCAATATGGATATCCGAGGAATTGCAACCATGGCCTGATAAAAATTCGATTCGATTTAAAACAATCGGAGCTTTATTCACGGAATTCATAGCACTATCTGAAAATGGAGATCTATACCAATGGCGTTGGTCCGACCCGGAGCCTTATAAGTCAGATGTAAGTTAATGAAATCTAGACATACCTATTATTACTGCCATAAAATATGGATTAAAGCTACAGCTGTGTTCATAAAAGTAGTAATGCCGCACCTCACCACTATCAACACTTTTTTTGAGAGAATTCCAGCCTTTCAAATTAAGCAAGTGAATATACAATAAATTGTATGGGTTACTCAAATCATACATTAGCTCAGCAAACTGACTAAAATGATATAAAAGTAGATGCGCGATATTGACCGCGGCTCACAAAGTTCGCGCTCGTTTTCTTTTTTTTTAGTCTATAGTCGACTGCAATCTTTCCTAATATCACATCAGTTATTTTTCTATCCAATTCCTTGGTTTTCGAAGAACTTACTTTGACCAGCAGAAAAAAAAATCGTTAATATCATAAATCGTGCTTAAAAAAAAAAGTTCTTTACCAATTCATATATGTTTTTCCCCTAATTAAAATAAGGTACAGCTCATTATGTTTAATATGTTTCCACAGCCTGATTTTTAGGTTAATAAAAAATACCTTTATTTTCAGGTGGACAATATTTATCATCCAAAAACCTTGACACTGAACATTAACGAAAGGGTCGTGAATATTTCAGCGAATTTTATACGATGTTCGGTGGTGACTGAGTCAAGTCGAGTTGCCACCTGGATGGACGAACAACTGGGATATTTAGGAGCCAAGCTGGAGCATACTTGTTGTACTTTCAATGAGTTTATCTCAGATCAAATTACAAACATTTATGTTTGTTCATTGTATACAGTAGTGAGAACAGAAAGCAACAACATTTATTGGTGGGGCGTTCTTCCCTTCGATCAGCGCCGATATCTGTGGGACAAATTTCGAACAAAAACAAAGAAACCGTTTAAGGTTGTTGCAGCGGATATTAATGTAGGGGCGCAGGTCATAATGAAAAAATGTCCTATATATCAATCTGGATCGATTGGCTTTACATGTTCCAACGGTGTACCCAAAGTTGGACAACTTTTAAACTCTGTTTGGAATTTTACTGACGTGTGTCGCATGAAAATTATAAACATTAGCACACAATTGGCCACAGATAAATGTCAGGCAACTGGAAGTAACCAAAATGCCCAAGGAACATCAACAGATAAGGATGTTATGAAGACAACTGTCATGCAAAGCACAAGCAATAGTAAAAATAGTCAAATCAGTTCATCAAGCAAGGAATCAACTGATAGGATCGACATGCCTCCACCACCATCACCGGCATCTAGCACTTGCAGTGATACTGGAAGTGTTACATCACACAAACGCACCAAGAGAATGACTGCAAAAGAGGACTCTCACAGCAATCAAGAGAGCAGAAAAGACGAAGAGCTGTGGCAGCTGAAAGACGTTGTTTTCGTGGAAGATAAGGTCGGCCCGATCGGAAAAGTTCTTAAAGTCGATGGCGACTTTGTAGCCGTTCGGTTTCCAGCATTGAATACAGCCTCTAATGCAGCATCAACATCCAAAGACGAATGCAAAGACGACGACTGGCAACAATGCCGTCTTCTTCGGCGTGAAGATGTTCAAGTTTTTCGAACAGTAATGTCAACGCGGGGACCAGACTGGCTGCAAAAGCAGCCCAAAAAAATGAATGTTGGTGCTGATACAGCTGGCGTTCAGTTGCTTACAATAGCTGTTGATATGCGAGGTATTCACGTAATCAAGAAAGTACTCGGCAAAATACATTACAGTTTGTACAACTTGTACAACAGCAAGCAAGAGCAAAACTGCCAATTTCCTACAGACTGCGCTTCATTTATTGGCGTCTCTCCTGCGAATATACTAATGACTTGCAATAACGATTGTAGTGGAAATAACAGTACTATTGTGCTCAGGGATGGCAATGGTGCCCTGTATCCGTTAGCAAAGGACTGTCTTGGCTCAATAAAAGATCCCCAGTGGTTTGATTTACCTCCAGTAAAATCAATTACCATGGCGACGATACCACTACCCGCAATGGTTTCTGGGTTAAACCTCAAGTCGAAGGTGTGCATGACGGCTTTGCTTTTTGACACACAAAAACTCATGCCGCATATACTACGATGTGATATAAAGAATTGTTTCGCTGCTCTAACACGACTCGAGAAGGAAGACCACACTGATACTGCTTTAGTTGTCGAAGAGCGTTGCGATGGGGCTCGTAACATATTCCACGCATGCGTTATTATGTGTGCCCCAACCTCCAACAAGGATTTGCATTCAGATACCCCTAGTAGTAGCTCTGATAAAAAAACACCTTCGGCTGGGCTCTCGGTAACTCGTTCTATTCCATCCGCGAACGTGCCAGCATATGTCAGCGGTAACGCTTTTGGAGCGAATGCGACTGCCAGTGACGGCGCAAGTTTCGCTACGATGACATCTGGAATAAGCGCATCTGCTCCCAGAGATAATCGTATTAATTTACGTGATATGATGCATCGCCTTGGAAGCACTGATCAACCTGAGCCAACCAGTCATCCAACGGCCGGCGGCAACGAGGACCATGCCTATATTCCATGGCCAACAGACGCGTCCTCAGCGAGCAATCTAAGCGGGGTCCCATCGCAAAATATCGCTGACGGCATTGAAGACATTTCCAAAGTCCAAACTCCGTCCTCTACACAGAGTTCAATTTTATCAAGCATTAAACTAGGGTCTCCAAACTACACATTTGATCTATCGCAACGCCGTGAGCATGCTCTGTTGATTCTGCAACAAATGTGCGCCAGTCCTGCATTGCGGCCTTACCTCTACCAGATGCTAAGTACCAAAGATGCGCAGGGTCAAACTGCTTTTATGTTATCCGTTTCATGTCGTGCCTATGAAGCAGGAATTATCATTTTGAACACAATACTCATGCTTGCTGAACAAGATGCTCACTCAAAGGAATCTATGATCTTTCCCAACGGTTCTCCAGCGGACCAATCACCATTACATGTTATATGTTACAATGATACATGCTCATTCACTTGGACTGGAGCTGATCATATAAACCAAAACATTTTCGAATGTAAAACATGTGGTCTGACTGGATCATTATGCTGCTGTACAGAGTGCGCTCGAGTATGCCACAAAGGCCATGATTGTAAACTAAAACGAACAGCACCGACAGCCTATTGTGATTGCTGGGAAAAATGCAAGTGCAAGGCACTCATCGCTGGCAATCTCACAAAGAGATTTGCTCTGCTTTGCAAACTAGTATCTTGTACCGATTTGGTCACGAAATTCAACTCTAAAGGAGAATCTATTCTACTCTTTCTGATACAGACTGTGGGTAGACAGATAGTGGAGCAGAGACAATACCGTTTTAATGTAAGGGTTCGTAATGTGGGAAATACTGCGGGGAGCACGAATGGAAACAACACAGTTATATCGAATCGAAAGTCTTCCTCACTAGACGTAGATAGTGAAATGCCAGACCATGACCTCGAACCACCGAAATTTGCAAGAAAAGCCCTTGAACGGCTTTTAATTGACTGGAATGCAGTACGCTGCATGGTAATGAGTGGAGCTGAAAAAGCTGACGTAAATTTGCATAATTCTGCTTCGGAAAGCCCTAGTCCGGACAGTTTCAACACGTTTATGCAGACCCAGCATGGTTCTACACTTCTGGACAAGTTTACTCACAGTTTAATTGTAAAATGTACTGGCGATCATCTTGACACTCTGCTGCTGACATTGGTACGCGAGCTACAAAACTTTGGTGTTACCAATCGCTGCAAGGAGGCTGAGGAGGTTTCACGACGCTTCGTTCGCTCCGTTGCTCGTGTGTTCGTAATTTTTAATCTAGAAAAACAACCGAATCCAGAAAAAAGAAAGCCACACACTGCATGCAACAAATATGTTCAAAGCTGTGTAAAAGTGTTTCAGACGCTACACAGAATATCTATTGAAGAACTATGTGAGGTTTCTGAAGCTCTTATTGCTCCAGTACGCCTTGGTGTTGTGAGACCTACAGCCCCTTTTACAATGTCATCATCAAATCTTGATGTAAGTATATCACACATTTTCACTCAACGCTGCGCATCGCTAATAAAACATATTTTACAGAACTCGGATGATTTGTTCAGCGTAGACCCGTTAGCTCCGTCGAATGTGGAGCCCCTTTCCGAGCAAATATTGGGACACGATGCTGCAAACGATCAAAGTGCTAGCTTTAATATCCAGCAAAACTACGATGTTGTCGCAATGGAAAGTGAGTTTATTCATTTATTTATTATTATTTCAAATAATTTCAACGTTAATAAAAATTAATGTAGCGATTCGCGATGCTTCAGAATCGGAAGAAACTATAAATCGGGAAGCAAATTCTCATGCTCAAGACGATGATTTAATGGAAAATCAACGAAATGAAGATGGTCTCCAAGATGATGAAAGTGATAATGATTTTACCTTTAATGATGCTGAGACAGAATCAGACTCCGACGACAACCAAAGCAATCAGGAGGTACAGAGAAACGTCCCAACCGGTGCAGCCGCTGGATCCGAAACAGGTAATTGGCTTTACCCTAAAAGTTTCTTAAAAGAAAAAGTGTAAAAGTACAATTAAATTGTTTATACCCGGTACTCGAAGAGAAAATAGGATACATTGTATTTGTGCTCGAAAGTGGATGCATTCTTTGAATACCCGGTATAATTGTAGACTCATTTGGAATTTATTTATGTAGATATTTAATATTTAATTTCGACCTAAACAGATATTGGTGTACTATTTTTGGAGGACGAATCTGGAGACTCGTCTGCACAAGAGGAAGATGGTTCAGAAGATGGTGAATCTGATGATCATTCCGATGAATTTAATTTTAACGATCAACAACTTGAGCGCCGTAGCACCAATTCAAATGCACGCAATGATCTTGCTCCCCAGACTATGCAATGGGCAATCCGAAGCCGTGACACTGCCCGGTCGTCCGTACGCGTACCAACCAGCTCCAATTTAGTTTTCATTGACCCGATGGCTTTAAGACGCTCTACAGTACCAGCTACGACCGCGGTTACGACACCATCCGCAGAGTCTCATACCATGGCGACAACTGCTAGCAATTTAGCACGAGCATTTGGAATTACAATAAGACAGATTTCTGAACTTATAAGTATTTTATCTTACAATATGGTAAATAATATAGAAACAGCATTGAAAATTCAATGCGAGGAAGCAGTTGCGGTCCAGGCAAGTTTAATATATACATAGATATAACAAAATTACATTTAATCTTAAACTTAATTTACAATTTTCATTCAAAAAGGCATTTGTTGAAAAGCGATTAAAGTCTACATGGGACTGGATGTTTACAGTGATGGACGGAACGGAGGCACAGCTAAAGTTTGGTGCTTATTTGACCAACTACACTGATCCCAATCATCCTCTGCATCCGCTTAACCTTAGTGGACAATCGACAAATAATCAAACACCTGCTCCTGCCACTTCTACATCCATCGGTGTTAATGTGCTGGGTATAGTATTATTTTTTAAAATAAAACATTAACTTGACAATTTAATGAACTGAAATTTCCCAAAGGATCTAACTCGCGTCGAGACTTCTTTACATATTGCCTGTCACTGATGCGTGCACACACCTCCGAGCATAGAGATGCCCTTCCAGTATTGGATATAACTGCTCTTCGACATATTGCATACGTGCTCGACGCGTTTGTTTACTACATGCGTAATGATACAGGATTTTATGATAAGCAGGAAAATATCTCTGGACGTATAAACAATTTGTCACCAATGTCGGAAAATTATGACACGGACGATGAATTAACGAACTTAGAAGACTTTAGTAGTGACGCACAGCCGTCTACAAGCACACTGTCGTCAAGTAATCTCGGCACACGCAAAAATGCCTTTTTCACTAGATCTGAGTCTACCCTGAGCTTAGGCTGCTCGGCACCAGATGGCTTTGAATTACCACTTGATATGGCAATGCCCCTAGCCGATAAACCTCATTTGCTGCAGCCTAATTCAAAAAGACAGGAGCTTTTCGCCAATCTACCGCTGCTTGCAGTTACAAGTGCTAATGCTACTATCGATGACCCTCCTACCAGGCTCGGATTTTCTAATTCCTTAAAAACGGATGGGACTAATTTAGATACCATCCCATCCCAACAATCTGTGGAAATAACTAAAAACCCAGTGACTGGCATCTCAGGTGATGAAAATATGACATATAAGGCTGATGAAACTGCAGAAACCAACATTTACTTGCAATTAAAGAAAAAGCAATGTTCCGAAGATTCAAAATCCCGTAAGGACGTTGATGGTACGTTAAATTATTTTTTTTTTTCATCCGTTGTTGTCGTCAAAAATAAAAATTAATATATTTCTCTCTTTAGGAAATCAAAGCTGCCAATTCGATAGGGTGGTATCCATGGATACAGATGAGTTGGAAAATCTAAGCAGTGGTCCAAGCACATCAAAAACGACAGATGCGTTGATGGCTACAAGACCAGAAGTAATAATAGCCCCAAACAAAGCATCATTAACGTCGTCAGCCGATCACTGTAGCGTTATAGTACTCGCCGGAGGTTCTTGTTTAAAAACGGTTGACTCAGAGCCTAACAGTTCAAGTTCAAGTTCCATTTTATTGACTTCGGAAAAAACCAAATGTGATACACATCAGCAAAAAACACCACCGCTTACGTTGGTGTTTCCCATTCGAGGTTCTTTGTTTTACAAAAATGCATTTTCGGAACTGCCGTCTTGGAACTTTTTGTTGAGCCGCTGGAAGCTAACACTTGAAATCTTTGGCCGTGTATTCATGGATGATGTTGGAATGGAGCATGGGTCTGTATTGCCAGAATTGAGAGGTTTTCCTGTTAAGGAGATGCGGTTCCGCCGACACATGGAAAAACTGCGAAATGGTCAACAGCGTGACCTAGTGTTTTGTAAACTCGAACGAAACCGAGATACCTTAATTGTTCAAACTTTTAAAGAACTCAATACCCAATTTGGGAATCAGAACCGGCGATCTCAGCCTCCCATTGCATTCAATAGAGTAAAAGTAACATTTAAAGATGAACCTGGTGAGGGATCTGGGGTAGCTCGCAGTTTCTATACTTCCATCGCTGAAGCATTGCTTGCCAATTCAAAAATGCCTAGTCTTGAATCTATACAAGTGGGGAGCTCGCATAGTAAATACGGAGTGCCATTTTCGAGTATACTGAGAAGTAGAACCGTCTCCGGATCCAGTCGCGATCAGCCCACATTACAAAGACGTGGTACAAGTAGCAAAATTCTATGGCGAACAGCTCGAGATCGAAAGGTTTTAAATGTAGATGCCAGACCGTACACCCCCTCAAACAGTACAGGTAAATAATACATGAGTAAAAAATTTGTATGACTATAACGTTAACTTGATTTATTATTTCTTAGATAATACCATGGCGGAGAGCGCCAATGAACATTTGTCGGTTCATTTGCAACAACTTGGAGAACGTTTATACCCTAAGGTAAGTTCTCTTTAAGTTAATTATATCATCGGAATAATTACAAATTTTGTACTTAACAGATCAATTCAATAAACTCAGCACATGCACCGAAGATAACAGGAATGCTCCTCGAGATACCAACCCCCCAACTTCTATCTGTACTTTCCTCAGATGATACACTGCGTCAAAAAGTTAATGAAGCCATAGAAATTATAACTTTTAAGCAAAAATCGGAAGCATGCTCTCAAAATAATCAGCAAAAAAAATCTGCATCAGTAGTGCTGGTCGAACCGGCAGATGACGACAATGATCCATTATTTTACTCTCCGGGTAAGCGAGGATTTTATACACCACGTCAGGGCTTCGCGACCTTTGAACGAATTAATGCATTTAGAAATATTGGAAGGTAAGACTTTTTCGTGGTGTTTAATTTACATTGTCATTTACAACCTTGCCTATTTCCCCCATATATTTTCAGACTAATTGGGCTTTGTCTGTTGCAAAATGAATTGCTTCCACTGTTCTTACAACGGCACGTGTTAAAGTATATACTTGGTCGTAAAATTAAGTTCCACGACTTGGCGTTTTTCGATCCAGCATTGTATGAATCTTTCCGGCAAATAATTCAAAATGCCCAAACAAAAGAGGGTGAAGAAACCATTCATCGAATGGAACTATGTTTTGTGTATGTACAAATTTGTTAACGGAATGTAAGCTTATACTACACAGAAATGTTATTTTAGAATTGATTTAATGAAGGAGGAAGGCTGTGGCAATACTGAGTTAATTCCTGGAGGTCGTGAAGTACCAGTAACTTCAAACAACATATTCGATTATATAAGACGTTATACCGAATATAGACTGATTAAATCACAGGAAAAGGCACTTGAGGTGATTATTAATGACTATTAATGTTACCAGAACGATATATTTAATCATTTTCTTTTAGGCATTAAAAGACGGGGTTTTTGACGTTCTGCCTGACAACAGTATGAACAGTTTAACCGCAGAAGATTTGCGTTTGCTCTTAAATGGGGTCGGGGATATAAACGTTTCAACATTGATTTCATACACTACGTTCAACGATGAGTCTAGCGAAGGCCCAGACAAACTTCTAAAGTTTAAAAGATGGTTTTGGAGCATTGTTGAAAAAATGAACATATTGGAACGCCAAGATTTGGTAAGTGTTTTTATACCCGGTACTCGAAGAGTAAATAGGGTATATTGTATTTGTGCACAAAGTATGTAACACACAGAAGGAAACGTTTCCGACCCCATAAAGTATATCACTTGATCAGCATCAATAGCCGAGTCGATTGAGCCATGTCTGTCTGTCCTTCCGTCCGTCCGTCTTATTGAGCGCCTGGATCTCAGAGACCATAAAAACTGCTCACACTGTTACAAGTGTATTTCACAAATGAGCCCCGCAAAAGAGCGAAAACCTCCCAAATCTACAATTTTGAAAATAAAAGAAAACTAAAAACGCCATTCCGTAGGGAGAAGGTACGTGTGAGACGCTTCTTACGCGTCACAACTTTTATACCCGGCACTCAGTACTACTCTGAACCTTAGCGGTTATTTGTCAAATTTTACATTTTTTCCTCATCGGTCATCTACATCTACAACACTTCTCACGCCAACACGTTTCATTAGTCACACACTGGAAAGTTAGGGCAGAGACGCGGCAGAGTCAGAGGCAGAGACGTGTCTGCGCGAAGCAGAGTGTGAACGAGAGAATGTGCAAAAAACAAATATAAGCTGCTGGACGGGGTGGGTTTTAGCCACTGCAACTTAATTTCTTCATTGTGGCCATAATAATGATCCAATCGGATCCCAATCGGCGATCCCTTCTCGTTGAATATATAAAATGTTTTAACTAATATTTATTTTTTATTTTTAGGTGTATTTCTGGACAGGCTCGCCAGCCTTACCTGCTTCGGAGGAGGGCTTTCAACCTTTGCCATCTGTTACTATAAGACCTGCGGATGACTCTCATCTTCCCACAGCAAATACGTGTATATCTCGACTGTATATCCCTTTGTACTCTAGTAAATCCATATTACGCACTAAAATGCTGATGGCCATCAAATCCAAAAATTTTGGATTTGTATAGGCCATAGAGCTTCTCTGTGTATAAGTTATACTTTTTTCCTTAATTCTATATAAGATATTGTTTTTGTGTTACAACAGCTTTCAGCACTTAACCATACCATTCCCATACTTTGATTATATGTAAATTGCATCAAGTTTGATCATTTTTCTTAAATAGATCATCTTTCCTTAAAATTATTGAAAGCGAGTGCCGAAATCATTACAGACTTGTTTAAAAAAACTGGTTAGTAAATATATGAAAAATCAAAACTGATAAAATGCAACCAAGAAAACAGGCAATTAGGTATTAGAAAACCTATGTTTTTAAATTTGAACTTTAAAATAAAGTATGTTTTCTTACGCAAATGTATTCTACTGATATGGGTTGGATGACTTTATTTAAGACCCCCATCCGTGGCAAAAGTCTAAGAATTTATTGAGCGCATTTGAAAGACCTTTCATAATCGAATACAGCCACACCACCTACAGTGTGGTGAGTCTTCTTGACAAAATCTCTGTCCACTGAGCAGCTGTGGTATAAAAATGAACAGAGCCGAACTTCCTGTTGACCCGGGATGAGACTGTGGGTCCACCGGCCGTTTGGCGAAGTGTCCCAGCGACTTTGTCAGATTGTGATGCTCTCCTCTCTAGCCTGCCTTTGCGCTGCCTACCTTTCAACGCCTCCATGGGTGGCTTCTGCAACGTTCTTCTCCTCGATTATTAAGAGATCTATTGAAAGTACTCCTGCGATCACACATACACCACGATAGCCCACTATCCACTGCAAATAATTCGAGCCCCGCAGACAGAACCCAGTCTGCTTTCAGTGGGATGGCAAACACAGACGGAGTACACGTTAGCTAGCTGAAAAAGTATGAAAAGTTTCAAAATTTCAAAATTTATAAAAAAAATGCTAGTGCCCCAAATCTTTCAGAAGTAGATTTGGTTCCTTGAGAAAAAAAGATTTATTTTGTTCAGTAGCGTTATCAATCGCTGAACAAGTCATGCTGAACGCGTCCAAAACAACAATAATAACATCAGAACTCTGTCACCAGGTGGAGCAAAAAAACTGAATTAAATATAAATGGAAGAAAGAGCATAAAATACCAGTGGTAAGATTAATAGATACATATATTTTGTATTGTTTAACAATTGTAAAATTAAGTTGAGTCACTCACAAAACCATTGTTAAATTATTCATTTCATTTTATCACATGGATGGTTCCCGTGTGCATCCGTGTTTCATATCCACGTGTTTTACCACTCTCCCGAGATGTGCTCAGTGGCTATATGAATTCAAATAAAGTTTGTTTAACAATCGCGTATTCAAAATATCGCATTTGCACATCGATAAGATATCGAAAGCCAAGGAAAATGTATCTTCATATTACTATTTGCTTTTCAAAATACATACATATTTTGGGAATATTTTGCAAAAATAGATTTTAAAAGGGTTATTGGGAAATTAAAACTATAGAATATGGAGGTGCATACCAAAGTGTTACTTGTAACAGCTAATGTTGGTAGTTTGTTCGAAGATGTAAGTAGAAGAAATTGGGAATATAATGTTTGTTTACATTTTAACAGAGTACATACATATTTGTTTTTATGTATATACGTTGGTATCAATGTATTCAACATTATTAAAATGTTTGTAAAATAATTAATTATCATGTACATACGAACGTAATTTCACTGATTTCATAATGATGCTGATGCAGCCAGAGGGACTTCTTCAGACATGGTTACACGAATTTCTTTCCAAGGTATCGGACACTCAACCACAATTTTTAGCTTTGCACCTTCAAGAAGTGGGAGGAAAAACTTACGAGAAATCAATGGAGCACGTGCAAGAATTTATCAGATGCTTGTGTGATGCCAGTGTAATGGCGGCTTATTTCTCCGTTCAAGCATATATGGACGAAGATTTTAAGTCAGCTGAACACTTTACGGTAAGTTAATGAGACTACGTTACGGCTGGTATACACTCAATTTGTTTATGGACACATATCCATACATACACATATGGTCGTATGTATTATTGGTTTATCTTATGTTTATTTTGGTTTTCGCATACATTTGTATATTGAATACATGCATGTTTCTAAACCTTCACTCAAGTGGTAAGTAACTTATCAAAGCCATATTTTGAAAAAAATCACTTAACAATATTAGTTTTTTAATTTCAAAGCTAAATATTTTCTAGTTCAGGCGCAATGATCAGATTTAGAATAGCAGAATAGTAAAATACAATTAGAATTAGAACTTATGAGAAAAATAGAAGAAAAACGCCTGCAAAATAAATATGAGACCTAGCCGACACTTGTTTTCCGTTTTTCGGATCAAACAAAGATATTTTCGTGAAATGCATTATGCATTTGAGAAAAATCTTAAAAGTTTTAATCGAGTGCTTGTGCATGGTGTAACAACATCCAAGAGCTTTACATTTTCTTGTGAGAGTTGGTTTTTTATATATTATCCCTATGCAAGACTAGTTCTTACTCTAATTAAGTCAGCTAGTTTTTACATAAAAGTTTATATTTGATCTCTTTTAGGCCCTTGGAAGTATCTACTTCGCTCACGAAGACATAGCGTCTTTGAAAATATGGAATTTTACAACTCATAGCTGGGAAGGCAAAACGCAAGAAGTTAAAGATAAAAACATATATTGCGGTAATATTGAATCGATTGCAACAAAGGAGAAGTCTAAATTCCCGCAGAACTATTTTCCGGAAGTAAGTAATTATATATTCTTTGCACATACAAATTCGTAGCTTACACTTTCCAATTCGGAGTCTCATAGATCTATTTCTCAATCTGAACAGGCTGGTCCATAATGAAAAAACCGTTAGTCATATTCCCTACAGTTCGTGAGCTACATGCATTCGCCCGCTTAAAACTTAGTACGGGGTATAAAACCTGGGACGCGTTTGAACGCGTCTCACAGCGTTTCTTCCCGGTTATTTCTTTTTTTGATTTTATCATTTATTGCATTTTATTATAAGTAGTTAGTACTGCAGAAGACCCAGGGTTCGGAGACTTGCCCCCTAGTAGTAAGTAGTAGTAAAATATAAAGTATCGACTACACAGCGTTCCTCCTCGTTTTTTTGCTTTTGATTTTATCATTTGTTTTATTTAATGTGAAGTAGCTTGTTCTACCTTAAAGAAGTGCCCCCTAGTAGTAAGTAGCAGAAAATCACAATGAATCATAGATAGTTATTTTTGTACTCTTTGAGCTTTATGTTCAAAACTAAAGCAACAGTGGATGCCAGCCATCCGTAGCAGATTAGCCTCTTGCTTCAAAATATTAAATGTTAATGTTAAATCTACTCTAGAATGTTTTTAATTCTTTTATTTGTCTACTAACCTAGTGTAAATGGTCTCGGAAAGGATTTATGCGAACACGTTGGGAAATTAATGGTACTGTGATCGATCTAGTCAATATCCATTTATTTCATGATGCATCCAATTTGGCTGCATGCGAAAATTTTCCATCAGTATATTGTAAAACAAGGAGAAGAGCATTAGTTCATACGATTGAAAGGTAATTTGATTGAAATTAAAAAAATGGAAATTAACTACATATATTTATAAACAGATTTCATTCGGACAAAGAGAATTGTTCAGTACCATACTTCCTATTTGGCGATTTCAATTTTAGATGCGATACCGAAGGCGTCGTAAAAGTAAGTTATCATTGTGAACTTGAACATTTTTATTTGTTTATCTTTCGGATCAGGAACTAACCAAAAACCTGAATGCCTATCGTTCGGAAAATAGTAAAAATGAAAACAATAAAGTTCATTATCGAAATTCCATTGGAGACACCGTACTTACTATAGGAAAGAAGGAATTTAGTCATGTCGACCATCAATTGAAGTTTAAGGAAGATTGGGTAACTATTTATAGCAGATCGTGTGGCTTTACTTAATTATTTGGTTCAATTAGCTCAAGAAATACGACAGAGAATTGGAGCTATTTAAGGATATTCTAGAGGAATATCCGATAAATTTTGTTCCGTCTTATCCTTTTGAAGAGGATCCACAAATGCCCACGGACTATATGTCAACTCGTTGTCCGGCGTGGTGTGATCGAATTTTAATGAGTCCCCAAGTTAAGGACATTATCCAGATTGATGATTCGAAATATGGCATGATTGGAGAATCTGCGTGCATGGGAGATCACAAGGTAAATTGAATAACCATTAAATGTAAAAAAACCAGCCTTTGCTCGCCAATTAGGTCGATTTAAAACAGTTTTTACAGAGTCTAAGACAGTCTTATTCTAATTTATTTTTGGGGCCCATATAACGGCCCCAAACTCATACAATCCGAAGCCCTTACATGCCTTGTTACTCTCCGTTTGGTTATGATACTAACCCAAACCATAAACGCACAAAAAACCCTTTTTTGTATGAAATTGTATATTGCGACAGCCGTGTTTAGCCGTGTTTCTTGCTGTATTCGCAAGTTTCTGTGCTCACAACCAAAAGATTTCTTGAAAGTTGAAGGATTGAAAGCTCTGAAAAATTATCTATGTGATGCGTAAATAAATGGATTTTCCAAATAACGCTGCAAAAATAAAATGCGTTTAAAAATGTATCACAAAAAGTCGGTTTGGTTCGATGATTAAAAGTGGTGCTGACTAGTGTAATCATCCTGGCCTATAACCTTTATGCCAAGTACAAAATAACAGTCGCACAGTGAAATAGATTATGCTAATTGAATTTGGTAAATATTGCAAATTATTTTTAATCGGTCTAATAATTATTATCTCTTCTCTTTTTATCATGTAGCCTATTTACTTAAGTGTCCGTCTAAAGCCAAACAAAGGTACTTGTAGATCTTGTGTTTGCACATATAAACAGACTTATGAAAAAAGCGAAAACAGCCCAACATCACCTTTACCCGCAGTCAAAAATACAGATCCCTATTCCAACAAATTGTTTGGGGAAATTGTATGCGAATGTAAAAACATACCTAGCAGTACAAATTTTACTAATGTAACCGATGTACGTATTTTATTTGAGTCCTCAAAAGAAATTCAAAGTGAAAATAATGTAAGAGCTACTCCCGCAAATTCTCCGAATATAACTATTAATTTAATTGACTCTGATAATATCTGCGTGTGTCTGTATGCACACTTATCTAGTAAAAGCTTAAAATTTGACGATCAAATGGAAAGAACTGATGCGATAGAGTGCGTCATTTGTCGGAGTATAAGAAAAATAAAGACATCCGCGTACCCAAACAATATTTTTTCGGAGCACCTTCTGCTCGCCCAAGATCGCCCAATAATCAGTCCTATCGATCAACTGCATCTTCACACAGCTATTGAAGATCTGCATGATGGTCCATATACTCCAGAAAGCAATGAGTCCCACTCACCTTATGCGGAGACTACTAGCACATGTACGTCAGTCTCAAACAGAATTCTCAATCCGTTTGATCATAGACTGTTACAAGACAGATACTTAGAAAATACTTCGGCTGACGGAAAGCCAGCAATAACAATCAATGTTGACTCAGACATAAAACCGAGAGGGGCTGTAACTCCTGACCAATTGAAGTCTAGGTTAGAAAATTTAGAGAAGTTATCAAAACGTTCTTTGGGGGGTGACGACAATTTTGTTCGGGAAGGTGATGTTGAAAATGTTAACGAGTGCTCCTCAAATGATAATCCATCTCGAATAAGACGCACCTCAATTGCTATCCCTATGTGTTGTAACATTAATTAACACCAGTTTGTTTTTATAGTCATTTTGTTAAAAAAAAAGGTGTTCCAAGGTCATCTCTGCTTTTGGAGAATCGTTATTTTGAGTATTGTTGAACAAACTTAATATATTTAAACAAATAAGTTATTTTCTTGTTTTAATTATTTTCTTGTTAAATGACTTAAACCCAAAAAACGAACGAACATTTGTAATTTTTCCTTTTTAAACTACAACTTTGCATTTAAAATACGTCAATTTATTAATTATACATGTATTTCTAAACTTTCGTTGTTTCGGTATCAGTTCTATAATGTTCAAAAATAATTTCTTTCATTTTTTAATTTTTGCCTAAAGACGAACTATACTTAATTTTATTTAAGTCAAACAAAACCAAAATACCGCATACATTTAAACAAAAAATAAATTTTACTTAAAAATCAGAAAACAAATCGTGAATAAATTTAATTTTTGTATTAATATTTTTTATTTATTTCACCTAAATATATTATGTTCAGACGAATAAGGAGTTGAATAGGTTTAAAATGTTGAATTTTCAACTGAAAGCTATTTCCAGTTATTGCCAAATAATCGCCCTTGGGACCAAAGTCTCCAATGCTGTGGTAGATAAATCATTATAATAAATGTAGTTGTTTTTTTTTTTGTTATAAAAAATGTCATCCATAAGTGTAATGTACTGTACTGTGCTGTGTGTGTATGTAGATATTGCAAAATAGTTTTCATACATTCGTTTGAAACCAATTTTATTCCTTTTCGCAGTAGAAGGAATGTAGCTAAGGCAGTTCTTAAATATTTATTTTTACTTTGTTAATTTTTATATTTTTAGTTTATATTTTTAAGAAAATAAACACTTACAACATAACTTAAAAATTGTTTATATTTTGTTAACTATTCAATTAAAAGATCTCATATTTAATATCCGAATATTTTTGTGTTGCGTAAGATCAAAGTTTTAAACCCCAAAAATAATTTTGAACGATTTGTCCTATGAATGAACTTGTAAGAATCAAAAAAGCCTGGGCACATCCATCAAAATGTTCAAGTTATTAAAATAAAAACCAAAATAAAATAGAAATAATATCCTGCTTGCATCTATTATAAATATTGAATTTACCGTGAATACTCATAAATTAAATTTCATTAAAATATATTTTATACTATAAAATCATTAGGCGTTATAAAATATGCAACGTACCATCCAACTAAAATTATTGAAAATTCTGGTGTGCCTTTTCGATTCACGTACACGTTCGACTGCAACAAATTATTATTCAAGAGGTTTAAATATTAGTGGATTTTACCGACTAGTATTTAAAACATTTAAGTATATTAATCAAGTTTTTTGTATTGTTATAGGCTCAGCGGATATCCCTAATTTTCCGGAATCCTTGAAGATTTTAGAGCATCAAACCTTGAATGACGATAGTCTTTGGATGGAGCAATCAAATGTCGATGCTTGTTCTTCGAATAGTTTGATTGCCAAGTCGCATTATATTCGTATGAAGCCCGTCTCTACGAGTCCGACTAAAAATGTGCAAGACAAAACTGGTATTCTTTCATGCAAAAATGAAGATTGCTCAAGTCTTGACAATGATAATACAATGCTACTAAAGGAGACCACTGTTTAAAATAAATTACGCCAAGAATTGTTACATCCTTATGAGGCCCGTTTCTACTAGTCCGAATAAAAATGTGCAATAAAAGAATGGTATTCTTTCTTGCGAAAATAGAGATTGCAGAAGTCTTGACAATGAAAAACTACTGCTACTAAATGAAACCACTGTTAAAAAGAATGACGTCAAGAATTTACTTGTACCTTATATTATTGATTTTCAATTATGTATGTTAAATGCGTCCATATTTAATAATGTATTTCAAATGGAGAGCTGGGAATATTTAAAATATATAAACACGTGTACTTTATTAAATCTTGAATTTATTTTAAAAGAAAGTTAAGAGATGATTAAAGTATTAAACTATTCAATAAGTTTTTTTGCTTTAAAATATCTGCGAAGATATAGAACTTGCCACGTAGCCAACCCAAGCAAACAGCACATGCTGAAAATGCTAAAGAAAAGAACCCGACTGTTGGTTTTTTCTGCAAATATTAAACATATTTTAGAACATGATCATATTATTCTGTGCCTGAAGCGTGTTTTCACTCTTACCATTTGTGTCACGCATTTCTTCCTCCCGTTTGCGCATTAGAACAAAATCGCGAACTATGGAATCGGACAGGTCTTCCAAGCGTTTAAGGTCAACTTCGAGAGGTTTCAGTTTGGAGGCTTCACCAATCTATGGAATCAGCGTTTGAATCAGAACGTAATACCTTTTTAAGAAAATTAGTTGAACTTACACCCTCGTAGCTTTTAGTTTCAACACCTTTTTTTGTCACTAGCGACACCTCCTGCGGAATTCCTCGTTGATCTGTGGTATTATTTATTAGACGATATTTTCGGCGAGAAGGTATTGGTTTTACATACGTGGTGGTACTTTTGAGATGAAGCAGATTTCGTAGGCGTCATACACTTCTGACATAAAACTGAATTTTCCTTTGGTAATGTGTTCCTTTTGTGACAATATATGTCCTTTACTGTCGCGGGCCTAATTTTATAGAGTTTTAGTTTTTACATCGTTTAGCAACAAATTATCAAACTTACAATATAGTCGATGATTTGACCAGGCACATCGGAAACTTCGTATTCACCCATTACCAATTGATTGGCCTGAATATCTTCTTTGAGACACTTTTGTGTGTTTGGCGGCAGGTGAAACATAACACAGCTAATTGGCCAGACATATACCATGAATAAAAAATAAAGAAACGTTGCTTTTGCCATGTTGTGAATTTCAATATAAATAACTTAATGAATGACAGAGATGAGGTGGCTAACTTTTCTTTACATTCAAAATCAATGTGACCGCGGATCTATCGGTAAAATATACCGCCTGATCTTCAGAAATATACCGAAATATGCCTTATAAATTTCAAAATATACCGCAGAGATATCTTAATTTGAAAACATTGAGTGCGTTCGTCCTGGTGAACGCACTTGAATTGAAGAATTCTTGGATCGAGTTGAATGTCAAACATCTGTCTTACACAACACACCAGCTAGGTTTCTGCCGAGTTCAGTACTCTCTACGTCACAGATCGAATATGCTGGAGCGAGGTGGCACTGTCCATTACATATTTTAAAGACAATATTTGTAGATTAAGCCGTTCAATACATATGTTCAATATATTTATATATATGCATCGGCTGAGTGTGACCAGAGGTTAGAACTGCATTCCGTACGGTTACAATTCTCAGGTAGCTATGTTGTTTTCTTTATTTTCTCAAGATTTTTGAAAAGGTTTTTAATATTGAATAATAAATAGATCCAAGCAGGAGATAAACTATGATGTGATTGGGGGCTTTGGCATTGGCATAATCAAATAGGAGGTACGCAGATAACAGGATGTAGACCAATATCTTCTGGAAAAAATCAAGAAGGTCGTTTTCCTATAGATGTGATATAGATATATATTCAATCAATTATATATATTGTTATTCCTCTAGAAAGTTTGTGTTGTTTTTGCCTCTTTGACGGCTTCAAGCTCGTTGAAAAGGACGGTGTTAATATTTCTTTAGACTTCGGCGACTTTTTTGCCTCCATTTTATAGTTTATATACATTTTGTTTGCAAGGTACCCGAGGTATACAAAACAAGTCGATATATTTCGAGCGACTAACAAACTACCATCGAATACCATATCCTGTCATTTTCTGCTTTTCTAGGATTAATCGGCACTTTTTTTGGTTCTGCGTACTAGCACTGTTTAACTGCATGGTTAGTGGTACTAGGCTTAAGGCCTGTCTAAATCACTTGCTATATTTGTCGTTTGTGCGTGTAACGTAACTAAAACAGCCTGATGAATCAGCTGTGTCTTGTACACATTACCAGTTGTGTCAGAACATCTTAAATTAAAAAGGAAAAAAAAAAAAAAAAACCTCTACGCCAGGTAAGTATTGGAGCAAAGCTGTAACCAAGTTACATATTACGACGTGGCGATTTCCCCCTTGAAAGGCGGGTGGCCAAAGGGGACCTAAGGGTAGAGCGGTAACTTAAAACCTCAAAAAAAAAAAAAATAAAAAGGAAAAAAACCAGACCTCATCTTGCATAGAGAATGCATTCGGGATTGCCAATAATGTGATTAATATCAGCAAAACTATTAAATTTAGAATGAAGGCATGGGAGAAATATTTGTTTGACTCTGACGAATTATTTCATGACTCTTTTAATTTGTTTACTTCATCACAGGGAGTAGCTGGTCTCTCAGTCCACACACGCTCTCGATATCGATCAATCGATATAAATCTGTGGATTTCGTTGTTTTATGGATACTCGACAAACGAAAATGTAAACTAAAAATTCCTGGAGCAGTTTGATTTATCCGAGGTCCAAGTCTGAATTTTTAGTTTCCGCAACTGTGTAACAACCAAAGATTTTAGTGGTGTCTGGTCACACCATGATTTGAGCGAATGATCAGTTTAACTAGCGAAATATTGATAATTAAATTTCGGTTATATAATTTAAAATTAATTAAAAGCTAATAAAAAAAATCAAATCAAAAGCGTATGCAAGAGACCACTACTTTGGAACCGATACTAAACTTAGTCATCTCATGTAAAAAGTCACGTAACTTATTGGTTAACGACTAGTCTAGTATCGTCTTGGAGGCGCCGCCGCTATAAAAATATACGGCTTAGGACGCGTTCAGCATTTTATCTATGTACATACACTTTTGTGGATGTGCGAGTTGTGTCAGTGTGTTGTGTGGTTCTTTAAGTAGAAAAATCACGGTTTTCTAAGATTTAAATAACAACCTATACCAATCTTGAGTTTTGTAACATTTATTTTTAAAGAGGTAATTTCTGTAAATTCATTTTAAACGTTGCACTCGTGTAAACTTGCCTTCATATATCTTTTTTTCAGGTAGCAAACTGCTGCAAATGTCAGGCGTGGATCAGGTAATTTTATTTTTCATAAATACATATGTTCATATACAAACATATGTGTATATCTAAATACATGATTTATACAAATAAGTGCGTGCATGGGTGTATACAAACACATAAGATTAAATGTTAAATTTTGATTAAAAACAGCCTGCAACAGGAATATTTTAACAAATATGTATTCATTTCTTTTTGCAGATGAAAATATCAGGAAACACAGGTATTCTACTTAAAACGACCCATTGGGCTTTACAATACTTAAAGACGTAAAATGGTCTTTCATATGAACATATGCACATACATCTAAATGTATATGTACATACATACATACCCTTGCAGAGAATACGATTCCTATGGCGATGGGATTGCAACCCAGGGAATAAAGAGTTCAGTATACATATGTATGCATGTACATACATATGTAAGTACTTTACTACTGAATCGATATAGTATTGTCCGTCCGGCTGTTTCTACAGACATTTGTTACTCGGGGTTTTCATCCATCTGACCATAACCGCACGGACTTCTATGTGATGGCGAAACCACACTCAAAAGTCTAGATTTACGTGTTATCCACAGAATGATACATTTTAAGGTTTGATCTGCAAGGGTATAGGAGCCTTGGCCCCCCCAATGCGAGACTTCCTTTCTTGTACAATTAATGATCCCAAAATCTAATAGCTAAATCGGTTGAGGAGCGTAATATACCATGGAGCCAACAAGTCGATGAGGCATCGTATGAAAATTTGTCTTCTCCAATCCACGATGATTGCTCTGGTATGTTAAAAACTGCTGTTTTATATATTTCACTCAGCTAAATTATTTAATTATTTTGCTTTTTCTAATAAAAAGCACATGAAAACTCGATGCAATTCCAATATCCGCCGTTTAATCTGAAAGAGAATTATAATCTACCATGGAGTAACATGAACAAGGGTCGACAAATTTCTGCAGACCATGGTATGTATTGTTCATTTACAATCCTAAGTAATTCGAAATTATTCAATTGAGAGTAGTAAATATATTCTCCAAAGGAAACATAATTTGGTTTTCTCATTTATATAACCCATTCTTTCTAACAAAAAATTTGTTTATCCGTAATTGTTGTAATAATTAGAATTTATTTTCACCAGAGCATTTTAGGATTTTTTCTATTCTTGGATACATTTTATTTATTTCGATTTGCAAAATTACTGCACACCAATATCTGCAAAGTTTAGTTTTTATAACTGATATGCTTGTTAAGTATTAAAATTGATCTTTACCTTAGCTTTCAAAATGTCTTGAGACCAGTCCTCTTTTGAAATATTTGCTATTGCTTTGCTGAGTACATTTTGGAATTTGTCGACTTTGTTTTTAAACACATATATTATTTCTTGGGTGGTTGAAATGGGCTGTTTGGCGCACCAGCACTCTTGGTTGGTAACTAGCCCTATCGGGGCATATAAAATGCCCGCTTCCTTGGACAAAGTGGCTTCAGGACATAGGGTCATGCTGAGAAGATCCGCTCCCCATGAGCGATATATACTATTTTCAGCAAGTGTCGAATAACGAGGGCCTTCAAGTGTGAGAACTGTAGCTTTGGAGTGCGTGGTGAGGTCCAGCTCTTGTGCAGCGCTGAGAAGATGTTGCCTTGTACGTTCGCAAAATGCAGGGTACATTGGTAAATGACAGACACCAAAGGGACTGCCAATTGCACCATCATAGAAAGTCGTAGCACGTCTTGTTGTGTGGTCTATTAGATCGTGTGGTACGACAATCTCTCCTGGTGTAATATTATCCCTCAAAGAACTAAAAGTGTGGGTTACCAAGATGTGTGTGCATCCCAATTTCCGCATTGCCCAAATGTTAGCTCTATAGTTTATGTTTGTCGGCATGATGTCATGCAAGCGCCCATTTCTAGAGAGAAGAGCACATTTTACGCCATCGATTAGGCCCTCAATTATAACGTCTGAAGGTTTTCCAAAGGGTGTACAAACAGCATATTCCTTTCGATCCTGAAGTGAGATTGTTGTATCCAGATCAGTATCTCCAATTATTCCAATTTTAATTGGGAACGGATCTTCATTAATCGGTGTTAAATTATTTTCCATGCCTAACCTTAAATTTAGAATTTCAATTTTCGAAAGGTATTTTTTTTGTATTTTATTTGTTTTTAATGACTTGTAAAGATGATGTTTGTTTCTGAGAAGCCTTGTTCAAATCAACTACTTTTATTTGGAAATATTTGATCAAGATAAATCATGGCAAACATTAAATTTACTCTTCGAGTACTGGGTATAAAAATCGACGTTTATACCGTAACATGTTCATACCTAATTATCATTATGACTGAACAGGCGATATGTTGTTTGACTTCCGATTTACACATTCGAATGTTACTTCACAATTCATTTTTTTCTACTTCTTTACAGATTCATATAAAAGACATGGACATGGAATTAATACTAATACTCGACGAGATGATCACCAAATAAATTCTTGGAATTCGAAGAAAGTGGCTGAATTAAGTTCTGCACTTCAGGTACTTCAGCAATAATATCGGGACATATTTGTATTTAAATGAATTTCTGTTTCTTTTGACATTACATTTTTTGGTATCATGGAAATGCCAATATATATACTTATACATACATGCATAAGTACATAAATACATTGTTTTTTTTAGCCAAATCGTAATGAAAATGAATACCGGTCAACACAAATTGATAACCGTACATGCGATGACGCAGAATTTCATGGAGCTGTGGCAGCACCCAAAAAAACAACGTGGGCTTCTATTGCTTCCCAGCCGGCTAAGCTGTCATCCAGAGTAAGTATGAAATATAAGAAATTTGATGCAAGTATAACTGAAATACATACACAGGCTGCATCGACTACTTCCAATCATAAGAAAAAGGGTCCTGGTATGCCACCACCACCAATGGTACCAGGAAAACACAATTTAGATGTTAATATATGGGACTTACCAAATAATAAGCCACCACCTGTACCAACACCACCATCACCGATTGATTTGGTTTATTCTGATTTTACCCCTGAGTTTTCAAAACCAGCCAACCAACCAACAGAGCCTCCTCTAGGGGTACGATCTGAAAAGACTTACAAAGACACGGAAAATTTTCATAACTACGAGAACAAAAGCTTGGGTAATGTAAGTAATTCCAGCAGAATAAGAGTATCCCCAAACGGTCACGCTCGAAAAAATCTCGGAACACATCTCGGTCATCAGGCAGTAGGTCCACAAATTTGTCATTTGGGAACCCTTGGACCACCTAGCCGACGACCCGAAAGTGTTAATCCTACGAATCGGACTACTGACCGTACAGGCAGCTATTCTAGTTCCCGCAGTGATTTTGAAATTACATCCAAGTGTAAGCATCTGGATCAAAACAGTTCTCGACCAAAAGAGCTGCCTGCAACTGAAGACATACCTGTTGATCCACAATTACTGTTGGATGAATTAAAAGACAAAAACAACTACAATCCAAAACAAATGGACTTAAACAAAGCCACAACAGCACGGTAACTAACGCAATTGTATATAATGATAATTCTTAATTTTTATGGTTCAAATGTACGACCAGATGACGAAAATATTTAAAACATTTTTATTATTCGGCACTTTCAAAATTAAATTTGTTAGTGTTAAAAGAGTTTTGGAACGTATGACAAATATTTCACATGAGATGGAGCTTATATTGCACTTCACCACAAAAAAGGCGCAGACTAGATTATGAATCTAGTCTGAACGCCAATAACTTTTCTCCTACTTTTCTCTTTAGTTTATTTTCATAATGAATACACAGAGAATAAGTAAGCGCGTGGAAGGAGTAGCGAAGCCACTGAATTAATTTTGTTGGTTTTCATTATGGATTTAATAGTCTAATATTCTATTTACTCGAGTTTCTCGAATTTTCAAAATTGTGAATGCTGAAGATTTTCGAATTTTTTCGTCATCCAAAAGTCTAAACCCTTTGGAATTAAAAGATATCACACTTGAAATGTTAAGTATAGCCCAAGACTATTTAATTTAATTTTTTTTTTCTTGTTTTTAGTTTTTTTGTCATCAAATCGTATTCTGAAGATGATATTCACCGCAGTATAAAGTACGAAATTTGGTGCTCAACTGATCATGGAAATAAGCGTTTGGATGATGCTTTCAAAGAGAGACATAAAGAAGGTGGAAATATTCTGCTCTTCTTTTCTGTCAATGGGTCTGGTCACTTTTGTGGGATGGCGCAGATGATGACTCCAGTAGACTATAATTCTACATCTAGCGTTTGGTCTCAAGACAAATGGAAGGGCAAGTTTAAGGTTAAATGGATATATGTAAAAGATGTACCTAATGGGAAACTCCGCCACATCCGCCTGGAAAACAATGACAATAAGTCAGTGACGAATTCCAGGGATACCCAGGAAGTTCCAAACGATAAAGGCATTGAGGTGTTACAAATATTGCACTGCTATAACCATTCAACGTCCATTTTCGATGATTTTTTTCACTACGAAAAGAAACAAGAAGAAGAAGTTTCCTCAAAGCGTCCTCCAATGTATGTTCCCGATGGCAATAATCATGTCAAACCAACACCAAGTCGCAGTTTTAGTCGAAACTGTGACGATAAAGAAAGGGAACGCGATAACCGCGGCAGAGCTGGAGCTGGTTTCCGTAATGCAGTTCATAGAGGTTCCGCAGGAAGCGGCGGTGGCTTTCCAATCAATTACACTGAATATCGTCGTGGCTTTGACATACAAAAAACTTTCAGTGGTGGTTATCACTTAAAAGATAGAGAGAGCGTTGAGTTTGAGAGAGAAAACGAGTATGGAAATCAGCATGTTTTAAAAAACAGGAAAAATGAACCACAACAAAACAGTGCCATTAAAGGCAAGTTAAAAAATCGAGATCGAGATTTCAGTACTGAACATACGAAAATCGACGTACGCTTTCGTGCTGGTCTGTGCACATCTAAAGATATGACAAGAGTAAGTGCCACTAATATTTAATATCTTTACAAACGGAATACAGTTTTTTATTAACTTAATAAACTTCCATTACAGAGTACTGATAAAGATCCGAAGCAATGAATATTACTTAAACATAAGCTCGCCAAGATTCATTAGGATTATTTTTCCAAATAATATTAAATGGACCCCCTTAAATCCATGAAAATTTAAGTGCTTTGAGACGTTAATGTAAAAGTTTTAGATTTTTTTAACCATTTTGTGTGTAAGAAGAAAACCCCATTTCATGATAAATATATAAAAAATAAAACCAAACAAGTGGGAACTAGGATAAATCATTAAAATATGATAACATTTTTACGTAATTATTTATTACAATATTTATATAAATCTATTGACGCTCACATTGAACAGTACATACTAAAACTAACGACCGATTTTGCCGATTTGTACAAGATTTCAAAATATCAAGGAACTTTCTACTGTCATTCCTTGTAGTTGCACTGTAACAATTTTTACAAGTTATCTGAATATAAATAATGTTTACACGACTTATGTATGTATAATATAATTAAAGGATCCAATTAATTATTTTCTGTAGTTTTTATGTTCTACTTATCCCACGATATACTCGACCTTTGTCCAAATCAATTTGACTAAAAGTTCATATTACCAAAATGCCAACATTTTTGGAATGCGTGAAAGCAGAAAGGTGAGGTGTGAGGTGTGAATGATTACTCATTTTGACCGTCAATAGAAGTTACACACAAACTTCAATATTTGCATGAGTCTAGTACTCTGACATCGCTAGCCTTTAATAAATAATGCCTAAGTAGAAGACTGATACACATTAATATTAAAATGTATGTATGTGCAGGGGACTCACATTCGAAACTAGACAGTCAACAGTATATTCTATTGACAGATATGTTATCCTGTCCTTTAGTACTACATTCGCCTATTCAATTCCATAAAATAGATCACTTTCAATTAACAAAAAAAGTATAAGCTGCTTTAAAAATGTATTATATAGAAATAGATATCGTATTAAAAATAAAGGAAGTTAGAACACTAGTCGAAATTCGGCTATAAAATACCCGCTTCTCAAATTTGTTGTTTACGCTTCGTGGAAATCATCTAATTGGAATTTAACAGGCGTGATCCATTAAAATAATTTATTTTTCTAAACAAAGCACAGATTGAATAGCTTGTAGTGGAGCTGAAGCACACTACAGTCTCTCTTGGTTTGTTTGTCTCACGCTGGAACGCTGAACCGCGTAAATACCCGTATAAACCAGGAGATCGATGATTGAAAAAGCTGAAAATATGCGGTGTCGGCTCTACCTCATGTAGATTTTAAACCGGGTAAAACAGTCAATCCAGTGGAATTAAAAACAAATTATATTATTAAATTCATTTACTTTAACACCACCATTGAGGCAACCGTAGGTGCAAAATACAATTTGTGTACACTCAACAGATTTGGCTTGTAAGTTATCAACAAATGATAGTTCCCTAGTTCCAGTTTTGTTTTATCCGGTTCTGCATTAGTTAAGCGGTATGTTGAGACAAATCAGTTGCCTTCATTATTTATTGAAATTACACTCTCGTACACAATTTAGACTCTGAGGGCGAACGCTGCAGAATAAAATTGAGTAAGCGCACAAGAGTTTCTCTGAAGGACTCTGCGATGCACAGTGTCAACATCAAATAAAAATTCACAGTGTCAAATTCCGAAACAATCAATAGGGTCTAACGGCAGTCCTCACAGTTTTTCTAAGTTTTGAGATCAGTTTGCACAATTAGTGCATATTTTACCTGTGCTTGAAGTGGATGTATGTATGCAAGGCACATAAGACCGACATCACAAACTCCATAAAATATATATGCTCAGTACAAAGGTATAAAGTATAAAAGTAGTGACGCGTCTCACAGCTTTCCTCCTCCCTCTAATTCTAGCCTTTTGTTTTAGAAGTTTAATCTTTAATTTTTTAAATAATAAATTTAATCCTAAGTGAAACAATTTATTTTATCAAACGATTTTTCATATAGGAAATTCATGAAGTCGATTTCATAGATAGGGAGTGTATATTCCAGGGAAATAGGGTCAACTTCATGTCGAAAGCAGCGACACCCCCACAGTGGTAGTGGTAATGTAATTAAAGCTGGAGCAGACATTTAACATCGACAGCAAATAAGAGGGGTCACAAACGATATTGCAATTAGAGCTCCAACTAGAAACCAGACACTTTTTTGGCAATTTTTCGTTGTATAAGTAAACTTTAGCGTCTTCCATGTTCTATTTAGAAAGTCATCAAACTAAAATTAATAATTAAACTATTAGTTCTGACTGATTTTTGTTTATTTTGTTTTATTATTTGCTTCTATAGTTTCTCGGTGTACTATTTTTGATAAATATTTTTTAATATATATTAAAAGAACAAGTGCACACATTCCAAAAGCCACCAAGGCAAGCGCGTTTTCACCATTCGCATAACTTTTAAGACGTTCCAAGAATTCGAAGTTTCTGAAAAAAAGGATAGTTACAAATTTAACATTTTACATGTAATTGTGCAGTTCGAGCTTCCTAATGGATTGTCAAGACTTTACAAAATATCAGTCGGAGCACACAGTTTGTTCGAAAAGTAAATTAAATTCTCTCGTAAATAAAGACTTTCGAAATAATAGTATAAGTGCAGAGTATACATACATATGTATGTATTTTTGAACATACATACATATGTCTCCAGTTATTTTTAAGAAGTGCTATGCAGTACTTTTTATGTAAATATTGCGAAAATAATGTAAAACTTACATCAAGCTGGCTGGTTCTGGCACCTTTTGGGAACTGGTTTCTAGATAACCAGTTTCAGCAAATTTGACGAAATCTTCTGGACGATACGTTTTGGTTATATAACGATACATTTTTCCTTTGCGTATGCTAAAAGAATTTAATTTGTATATATTTTACAGATTTTGTTAATTGTGAATTTTACTTACAAAATGAATTCCGGAGATTCCAATATTCCCAGTCGTGTTGCTGTTAAAATTCCAGTCTCTAATCTATTCATTCGGGCGATATTAAACTTTCTCCTGAGTTTTCCACCCACTGATTCCCAAATAGCATACAAGCGTTGGCAGAAAACACAGTCGGTGGAGTAGCTGTATAAATATGGGAATAGGATGTAAAATTATTATTGCATACAAATATAACATTCTACGAAAAGGAGTCAAGTCACAACAGTGACTTCGGTCAGTCGGAATTTTGAGGTCTGTTATCCGCCTACAAAACAGGTCGCGAGATAAAAATGTATGTCTAATCAAGGGTGCAAGGATAGAAAAATTCTTTAATGCTTACAAAAAAATAAACCAGTCTCCCGTCGTGGCTCCAGTAGAAGCTTGGGTAAGATGCTCAAAATTTTCATCAGATAACTCTTTAACTGCTGGTTCCTTATTATCATTAAAGAATTCAATAATTTCATCTTCAATGATGTCTCCATGGTATAAAATGGGAATTCCATGCCTAAAATATACAAGAGCTGGCTCCTTATTCGGATCGTATACTCCAACTAAATTACTGTCATGGGCCTGAACAACCGATGCTCCCAATGTCTCCTTTAAATCATTTTGTATTGCAGAAACGGCAGTTTCATATTCCAAACACCCTTCGCAGATTTGTTTGGCTAAAATATAGAGAATATGTAAACTTTTTCAATACATGTAGTTATGACTATACAATTATGTTGTATATGACATATATTTAAAGACGATAAACAAGTGATTAAAAATGTATACTGCAAATAAAATTGCTCTTCTCGACTCTATATTTTGTGTTAGGTTATTATTAATGTTAACGCGACAAACGTTAAGCTTTGAATGTACTTTGAACGAGACAAAAATTAGATTGTTTGTGGTCAAAGTAAAGTACAATACGTACGCAGAGAAGGCAAACGTTTTGGGCGAGCAGATCTGCGAGGAGAACAAGCTAATACAAATAACAAACCGTGCTCAAAAGTGTCTAGAATGCGTGAGCGTGAGCTGGCGGTTTATTCCCACGCAACTTAGCGACACGTACCTTTGTCGTCTATTCTGCCGGTATGTTGTTAACAGAACTATGTTCCTAAGTATCTTATGCGAACATTTATGGGAAAATAAGATTCGCCATGTTTTAAGTCTGTTTTGTTTCTTTATTGAATCAAATACATAGCTGGAACAATAGTGGTCGGGTTCGAAATAGCGTAAAAAGCAATATGTGGCACCGCTGAACGGAAATAAGGAGAAATACATACAAGCGAAAACGAAAACGTTGTGTTGTATCGCGATCTATGTATCTTACGAAGTATTTGCAGGTTTTTGCAATCAGATTTATGGGAATGTAATAAAAAGTAGACAGTTTAAAATAGAAAAGCTTACTTTATATTTTAGTAGAGTGTTAAAATAACTAAATAATATCCCGTCTAAAAAAAATAATGACTTTCATATTCTTTTATAAGCATACTAAAGTACATGTTATGTTGGTTGAGCGGTTGACCGGTTTCGGCCACATGTACAGGAAATGTGTTTTTATACGTACTAAATAAGACCACAACGTTTTTTTCGACGCTTAACAGATGGATCAAGTCAGTATCGTCTACACGATCCAAATCAGAGCAATTAACATTATTAAGGCTTAAGCCTAGAACACTTAAAACTATAAACAGTAACATCTTAGAAATTTCTAAAACATATCGATCTGCAGTGGCAAACCTATCGTCTTTATAAATAATGATGTTGTTAAAGTTTGGGAGACTATCGATTGTGCTTTAAAGAGTATCAGCCTTATTCCACACAGCGAATCCATTAGAAACGGTGGGAATTGTAGACTGATGTGAAACTCCGATTTAAGTACCATTCAAAAACTGATGTGACAATAACAATAACAAAAAAATAGGTTTTTCTTTGAACGCGGGTTGAAAGTGTTGCGTAATAATTTAATTTCTTCAGGTAAAAGTTTATATTGCACTATGCGTCACCGAGGGTGCGTTCTGTTCTACTGCTTGATGTTCATTATCGCCGATTCGGTCTTGCACTTTATAAACTAATCTAATTGTCTTTGCGCCCAAAAGAGATCATAACGAGCCCAAACTAACTACATAACATACACACTAAGAAAACATCAGAGCAATATCATCTTCTTTCATCTGCCCCGCCAGTAGAAACTGTGCGTTGCTTAAGCACATATTATAAGTGCACGTACCTGATCTTTTAAGATACTATCAGGTTAAGGCATATTCCAAAGCCTAGGATTGGAGATTACTGGATGTGTATGAGGTGCAGGTATGAAAAATTTGTCTTATAATTCGGGACGGATATAAAGGAGTATCTTTCCTTCTGATCTGCCAATATTTCCGACATTTCTATTTTGATTTTCTCTTTCGAAACAAATCATTAAGGTGTCACCTCTCAGCACAAGCAATGCTGCCAGGTGCCTGTTGGTAAATTCATAAATTCAGAGAGAAAACATCAACACTTATGAATCCCGTCTCGTAGTCTGCAACTTCTGTTGGCCAGCCCTTGCGGATCGATCATGGGAGCTGTTGAAATCGGAGCTCATCTCTGTGCTGCTTCATAATCTAAGTTTTTTTATATATTTATGTTTTTTATTTTTTATTCATAAGTTATTTATTAACTAAGGATCTTAACATAAAATTAAATAAAAACAACTTAACAACTTATTTAATTATTTTCTGGTATTGTAGGACCTAAATATTTCTTTGATCAAAATTACGTAGAGAATTAATGATAAATTCACTTAGATTTTCAATTCGTTGTTCTAAGTTATCTGAAAAATATATTTTTGAGTTGTAATGACTTTATTCATATAGAATTCCTTACCTTTGTCTGTTTGCAGAAATTTTCTTTCCGTTCCCTCACTTTCGGCAGCCATTTCATCTTTAAAAATATTCTTTAGCTTTGGTAAAACCAAAAGCAAAAAAATTAGTACAATAAATTTAATAGTTTTTTTAAGAATCAAAATCTTTAATAATATTTTGCCGAGCGTATAAAGGTTTATTTTGGACTTTAGTTGTTCCAAAAGCCAAGAGCTATGCGAATGGTATGGAATTGGACCTTGTGGCTTATAGTAGTGCGGTCTAGACCCGTACCACGGATGAAAACCTGAAGGCTCATGCCCATACTCCGGAGCAGGTGGTGACGTAGCCGGTGGTAAATAGTGGTTGTTCGGCGGTGGAATATATTGATATCCTCCTTCGTTGTTATCTAAGAAAAATAACTTTTAAATTATTTAAAGCATCCATAGCTCATGTGTAACCGCACAGTTTATCTTTAATATGTAATGCAAACCTTCATTTTGAATAACCCATTTCATTCCATTCAGTAAAGGTATATCATAACTAATCGTTCTCTCAGTGATATTTAAAAGAGGTAACAATTTTTTAGTAAAAACACGTATCCATTAATTCTGTTTCGTTCAAGATTTCTTGATTTATTGAAACTGAGCTATTTAATTTAGTTGAAAATTGAAATATTCCTTGTGACTGCGACTTTATGAGTATTCTTTTAATAAAACTATTAAAAACAGTTAATATCAGCAGCATTGCCCTTAAACGTTAATATTGGAAGAAAATTATTAGTAAAGAACAGCAAAGAACAACAGGAACAAAACCTTTTGATAACACGCTAATGAATGTAAGGCGCTCAACGGATCGAGCCAGAAGATTTTTGTGGTTAAGGCCACAATGTATTACACTAAGTGGCACATTCTATCCTTTGTCCTTTCCACGAGCCGAGAATGTTTAAATTATTTATATTGTCGTTACCTATTATTTTGTGAAATATGTAATATACATTCTGATCTAAGGCTCAGTAAGATGAGAAATATGAAGGAAGGTCGACTAAAAAAGTTTCCATAAGCGTATAGACACTCAATGTGCCACGTGTCATTGAACAATTTGAACCAATCTCATCTAAGTCAATGTATGACTATAAAAATTTGTAAATGAAATAAAAGTACACTTTATAACAAAAAGCAATGCTTTAAAATTTATGTAATCTTCATCGTACATTTAACACTAGTTTCTTTTATTGCAGATTTACTTTCGGATGTATTTGTAAAACTTTTATATTTTTATTTTGTATATTCAATGAAATTATTAATTGAGTTTTTTATTATCAACCTTTTTTTTTAAATAGTTTGAAGTTAATCTACGCACCATACTCCATTATATTTGCATTTTTAAAGTCGTTATCGAAGTTTTCTTTTAGACAAAAAGAAATATTAACCAAAGAAGCGAGCACAAAGACTATGTACAATATGTTACACATGGCTTAGACGAATGAATGAATTGAGCCCAAAAATCGAATAAACCGTTTTCTTGTCTTTCATGTCTTTTTATAAATTCCAACCTTTCTACGAATTTTTATAAAGAAAACGAATCATGAACACAAATTTTGGCCGCCGAAGAGTAAATACCCTAGACTTTTAAGTACTTTTTAGTTCAACAGCTCTCTATAATCTTTTTGTTATTTTGGAGTGTTCAGTGAGAATTGCACTTAAACATCATATTTATGAAAAAACTATATCTACCATAAGCCCCAGAAAATAAAAGTTTTTAGTCATTATCAAACCTTTTACAAACTTACTAAGACCAAAACCAATTCAAGGATTCGAGGTACTTGTACCTTATTTAGGGTACTGTTATATATTTGTTTATGAAAAAGTTAAGATACGCTGGTAGGGTATTTGCAGGTATCATAAAATGTGAACACTGTTTAAGTAACTGTCAATTTTACTTTTCTTTATAAGGTTGCCCCTACCAAATGTTAAATCACTTGTGTATTCTTCTTGCGGAGGCAGCTAGCGTCACTGAGCTTTTTAGTATTCATGGTGCGTTCAGGTACTTCGATTGTGTTCGAGATTTCGCAAAGAGAAGTTAGTAATTATATTTGATATAACTTTCTCAAACCGCTTTTCAGAACAAATTCAAATTTAAGTATGCATAGTGTTGAATGTTTATAGATCTTTGGGAACCGATGGTTTGATAGCATTTCCGGCCGATCTCAATCTTCACTATGACACGTATAAGACACAATTATTAATTAAAAAACAATTAAATTAATATATCCCCTGTGGATTTCATGGAAATAATATTACGCACCTCAACACTTTCACTTTTGATAAAATTGTATTTAATCAATTTAGTTAAAAAAACAAAAGAAGTCCCTTTACAGTTGGTTTCCATATCCTTGTTTTTAAAGTCTTTAGACAAATTAGAATGCTGCTCAAAGAAAAAAAGTTGTTTTTTTAATCGACACAAGGAACGAATATTTAATTAAAATGCTTCATGTTCTATTATACCAATCAAAAACTTTGCGACACATTGTCAATGCTCTGTTTTACGTATCTAATGCAAACATCCACAAAGATCTGAATATTCCAACAATTAAAGAAGAAATAAAGAAAACTAGTAAGAAATACATCGACAGACACCACAACCATGAGAATAATTTAGCCTTAAGTCTATTAGACAATAGCTTAACAGTAAGAAGACTGAAAAGATACCACATTCTCGATTTCCCTGATAGATAAATCCAACAAACTGAAAAGATGTTATATATAATAGCAGGGCCATTGGAAAACTGCTATTTCTGTTAATTGAATATTAATTATACAATTTACTTATTGTTTAAACAAACAGATTGTAAATATAAAGAGAGAGAAAAAAAAATGTTCTATTATTTATTTTTTATTTATTTATTTTTGTTTATTAATTCGACTGTTCAACAGGATATGAGCCACTAATTCTTGAACCACTTGCCAAAATGAATTTGACTTCTCCTATTATATTTCAATGTAAATCCCAATCCCTATATAGTCTTCTTGAGTGTTTTTGTGCCAAATGGGATAGCTGAATAATAATAGTCGGCCTGCCAAAGAAAACAAAATTTATGTTGCACTTTTTTTTTATTTGTCAAAGTAACTTGTACTTTTTTCCAGCATTTATCAAATTTTTGTATCCATTAAAGAAAAAGGATGTGTCGCGTCCTCTTAATTATAATTTTTTTGTGAGATGACTTCATCGTTTACCTTAAATCTCTTTAAACCGAGAAATTTATTTAGGCTTGGGAAAAAGCAAATAACCAGCAATAAGCAGGGATGCAAGGCTGGAATGTCTCTCTTTGCCAAATGTGTTCGCTTCTTTTTCAAATCCTCATTTAATCGATCCGATAAGCTGGCATAATATTCGTCATTGATTGGTTTACCATTTTGAAGGCAGTCAATGTGGTTAAAACCGCGTGCATTCAAAAGAACTGTCGCTATGACCTTATTGTTCTCTATTATTCATTGGGAATTAAAGCAGTTTCAGCAGTCCTAATCGATAATTCCATAGAACAGGCAGAAAAGGTAAATAGAACCTGAAACGCACGAAAAAATTGCTAAAAATTAATTTGGTTTTAAAAGTTTTGCAAGTAACTATTGTCGGAAATCCTCTTAATGGGTTGACAATGATAAGAATCTGGTTACTTAAAAGGGATTTTTAAATAATAAAAATTGATTTCCTAAGAATATAAATACAATTTATTATTTCGGTGATGTATTGTTAGTCATAGGATTGAGGAGTAATAACCCTTGAGTTAAAATCCTCTTAAAATTAAAATTAGTGTAAATTAGTTTACTTTTCTTTATCTTAAATATTCGTTTTGAATCCATTCGGACTTAGACTAGAAAATATACAAGTATCATTTCCGAACCCGAACCTTTAATTTTTAAGATGAAAGTGCATTTAAGTGTGTACATTTAAATTGATCTATTAGCCACACTAGCGTTATTTTCATATATTTTGGGTAAGTAATCACCCATATTTATATGGCTGTTATCTGTTACGACCGTATCCATACTTGAAAAATGTGTTGGTGTTTTACTTAAAGCATCAATACCACAAAACGGAACACTGCTCAATTGGTTAATTTCTGTTTCGGAACTGCCGGTATGGGTTGCAAAACTCTGAGGGCAGTTATCGCAGTGATTTTTGTCAGTGGACAAGCCATTGCCAGATTGGCAGGAGCTAGGCGAAGACGACGGCTCATATTTCCGAGGCCGTCCTCGCGATAAGTGTCGCCTCTTAACAAACTCGTTATCGTCGACCATCCAAAAAGAGCCAAAGTCATCTTCATATCGGACAAAACATTTGTGTAGCGATAGATTGGTACGTATCGCATTCTTTGTTACGCATAGTTGATTATAGAAAGTTTATGTATAGAATATTCGGTAGCCGTCAAGAGTTGAAAACAGGAAAATGCATTGAAGGAAAGTGGAGAAAAGGTACATTGAGATGTCAAAATTTTCACACACACATATATTTATGTATGTATATATTTTTAAATAAAACTAGTCAACACCTAAAGGCGAGGTTTAACGTTGTGAGACGCGTCTAGGGCCGTGTCACTACTTTTATACCCGGTACACAGTAAATATATATGTGAGCTTATGATTTAAAAATAGTTTATCTGTTTAGATTTATGTGCATCACTTCTGAAACCAAATCGCCGTTTTAGCTCGCAGTACTTTAACAAGGAACGCAGTCTGCGCCCGCTAGCAAAAGAACATGAGTCAAAAGAGCGTGTTGGTGCGATAAATGATGTAGAATTCGACCAAAATCATAAGGTATATTGATATACTTCCTGGGTACCGGTCATCTTTCTTTCTTGTTAGAACTGCAACATTTTCTTAAAACTATGGGAAGCATTATCTAGTAAAACATATGAGTTGAGAGTAGCAAGCTAAACTCAGAAAATACTTTAAAAACTTCATTCCCCACAAAAAACCACATCTAAAAAAAACCCTTAGTTTGTTAAAATATGTTGAAGCCCGAGTCCATCAGAAAAAGTTTCTGTGACGCCAGGGGAAAAACAACACAATTTTGTTGAAGAGTCTAATTGATAACAATAATAACGGTTTTATTTGTTAATTTTCTACGAACACTTTATCGCTTTAAACTCTAGCTTATATTAAGATTCACAAACTTTGGGCGCTCCCACGCAGCCTTGCTGCGCTCCGGCTATCGCTTCGGGGATCTTGACCCCCGTCTATCACCCGGATAGCCTTCTAGCGTGGTGCCGCCGGCTTTAAGGATTGGTTGCTGGGGACGCCTAGCTCAAAGTCCGATTTCGATACGCACAATCCACACACTGAGAACTGGAGGTCCCTCGATGCTTGGAACGATGCGTCCGCATACGACGAGTTCGCTCTCAATACTTACCTGGCAGGCGAGTGATTTTCCTTGGGTCTACTTTCAGGGCTTAAAACTAAAACGAAATTTATCTGGGTTGACACTTGAGACGTCCCTCGGTGCGATCCTTTTCCGTTATCACTGCGTTTCACTTGTGAATACGTCACCGTCTCCACGCACTCTTATGTCGCGACTCGAAAAGCAAGGCGGGGGGCGAGGACCCTTCTTAATATGGCTTTCATGGCCCCTGAAAACTAGGAGAGAAATTAAACGGACAGACAAACAAAAAACAGACAGACATAGACTCGGCTATTGATGCTGATCAAGAATTCATGTATATGTACATACATATATGTATGTGTACACTTTATAAGAAACTTTTTCAGAACTTTTTTAATAAAAAAGTCACAAGGTTAATTGCCTAAGGTATGGTCGATAAAATACCATTTACCGTCATGCAAAAACTGGCCCACCAATTTTTGCATTTTCGAAATACAAATATATTAAAATCGTAGCTCAAGCTGTGCAAGTGTTTGCGAGCTAGCAATGACAGCTACGATTTTAAAATAGTGTTCATCATGCATTTAATTTACAGTATAGAAAATAAATGCAGGAGCAAAAGGATGAAAAAACAGTTAGATAAAAACCCACGTACCCAAAATTCAGAGCTACGAAATAGTTTGCATCAGGCAAATTGGAAGCTCCTTGTAAGTTGTTACCAATGCTAGTTGTACGCTGTGGTCTTCTTTTGTAAAACTCGATTTCATCAACCGTCCATACTGCTCCTTTTACATTCTCAACACGCATAAAGCATTTATGAAGCGACAGATTATGCCGAACTGCATTCTACATAGTATGTTTATTTGGTTAGCTGGTATCACAAAACTCTTCATAAAAGTACTATTAATAAGAAAGAATGTCTAGCTTCGGGGGCCGATGCTGTTGATAGGCTTGCAGAACAAAGTCTTTCTTTCTTTAAAGTCATTTGACTTTCGAAATGGTAACATATGTAACAGTGTAATATCACAGCATTCTGGACTCTGCAGCTCTGAGAGATAGACAGACAGACATTTTTAGATCGACTCAGCCATCGATTCTGATCATGAATATATTTATTTTATAAAATCGGAAACGTTTCACAAATCTAATAAGTGTACCCCGTTAACTGTTCGAACACCAGGTGTCATAGGAAAAAAAAACAATTCCCTAAATAAATTAAAAGCCACAAATCTATCATTGTTTATTGTATTATGAAGTTCTGGTTTTATCGTGTTGTAGCCTATATGGTGCCTGAGATCGATAATCTAATCAAAATTATTGGACGTACAGGACATAGTATCTACTTGGGCCTTTAATAAAATATATTTCTCACATGTATCTTTATATTATCCTTATCTCTCTCTCGGACGGACATAACGTTCAAACACACGTATTAGAATATGAATATATAATTACCTTCCAAGTAGCTGCGTTTCGACGAAAGTAACAAAAGGTATTTTGAAACCAGTTATAAATTTCGTTCAGTGTTAACTGCTTGTCTGGAGAATCAATGATGGCCTGTAAAACAAATTAAATTAAAAGGTGGTCTTTTAGTCTTACGTGGGAGAACGTTGTGAGACGCTGCCAATACAGCGTATTCTAACAAGATGTGAGAAGAAAAATCATAACATAACTATAAATACAATTTGGGAATACAGGAGCCCTAAGGCGTAAAAAGCCCTCCCCATCATTATCAAAGCATTAAATACCTGTCTAATGAGAGAAGCATATGTAAAGGGAGGTCGTACATCCGCATTCTTGTAGAATTCTCTGTTTCTCTGTATTTCTGAAAGTGATATTATATTTAATAATGAAAATATTAATTTTTTTTCAAATTTAGCTAATAGGTTGACAGACGCACTTGAAAGCGTCACAACTTATATACCAGGTAATAAGTCAGTGTATGGGTGTGCACGTATAAATTCTAGATGTATAGGTGATCGATATGTATGATTTAGGATTGACACATTCACCACTCACCTTGTTGCACATCAAGTCCAGCTCTCTCTAGCATATATGGCAAACCTATAAATAAATGTTGAAGAATGAAGTTAATATCAAGCCTTTACTGGTGTGAAAAGACTCTTCTACCCAGTTTTTGTATAAAAAAAAACAACAAACAGTAGAAGACAAGGGATTTATTGGAGCCGCATGGCGCGGGCTAGATTTTGCTGGTAATCTTTTCTTAGATAACGACGTCTGCTCCTAAGTTAAGTTAAGTTTTTTGGCGCTCATTTAATAACATAATGATTTATTCACCAAGCAAATATAACATTTTCAATTTAGTACATACCACCATTTATTGAAAACGCTGTTTTATCCATATTTCTTTTCTTGATTGTGCACAAGTTTGATGAATTAACCATTGGAAGATTAAGAGAGCTCGGAGAATTTGATTGTCGAATTGTGCGACCTAAGCTGGCCATTGTAAGTGGACTCGTCATTCTGCAATAATTTCCATCCTTTCCGGAAGTATCCTAAAATAAAAATGTTAAGCTCAATAATATAAATCTATATTTCAATAAATAATCATTTCTCGTATTTTAAAAATTGTGTAAAAATTAAATTATGAAGTAATTGGGATCTCAGACTATACCTTGCGATCCGACTTTGTCGGCGATAAAAGTTGCTTCGACAGATACAAGTGGTGCATCATTGCTTGTAAGCGATCTCTTTCTTTTTGCAGGTGAGACTCCAATTGAGAAACAACTTGCATTTGTACACGAGCTTGAGCCGTTGACCGGTCATCCAATCCATGTTCCGTATTAAGATGCCTAGAAAGTGTAGAGAATTTAGCGATAGAGTAAGCGATAATTTGCTTAAGACAAAAATACGTTTGGATTAAATGAGAACACACGATTAACGTATTATTGATAGTGAGGAATGGAGTAAAAATAGTTTACCCTGGGGCTAGGATTCTACCAGAACAACTATTACCACTAACAACAATCAAAACCATCAGATCAATTATTAGACTTAAACATAAAATCCTTTAAACAAGTTCTTGAAACTACTCACAAAACACGAGGAGGATCGTTGTGAGTCGCGTCACTATTTTTATACCCCGTACTCAGTCAGATTTTTGTCCTCTTTTGGAAACGGCTGTGAGTTTATACCCGGTACTCGAAGAGTTCATTTAAGCGTTTTTTTTATTTATTTATTTACTGGATAACTTATACTCGCATTTAATTAGAATAAGACTTATTTGGAATGGAAAATATCATATATCATATTTCATGTATGTTATTTACTTACTTTACAAATGATGTGATGTCTTCTAAGTCCATTTCGCAACCGGGCCACCGGCAAACACCGTGAGCAAAAAGAGGGTGATAGTATTTCCTCATGGTAAATTCATCGTGCACATAATCATTTTCATTACTGCATAAATCTTTATCTTTTGACCTTAAGAAGCGCTCAGAATCTGAAAAAATATGTTTTTCCTGCTCCGAAATATATTCAGGCACATTGTAAAAACTATGTTCCGAAATAGGGGTCATTGTGTGTTGGCCTTGGGATATATGCATTCGGGAATGTGTTGCAAGCTGACCAGCAGATATGGATTCATCAAAGCTCGATAATGGAGAGCTACACTTTACGACATGAGAAGCAAATGATATTGTATTGTTTAAAAATCCGGATTGTTGAAAGCAAGCATTCTTAACGCTTTCTGTGCAAATATCTGGGACAGAAATATGGTATCTTCTCTCTCTATCCTCTTGGTCCTCTTGTTGGGCGGGTCCCTCACGACTAGAATCTTTAATGTCCTTAGAAAAATCCTCATCATGTATCCGGAGCATATCTGTAATACGCACTAAATAGGTATGCAATTAAAACAACATTAGAAAGCTTTTTGTAAAGCAATGAGCGTTTTTAATTTAAAGAAAACGGTAAAGGGGTTGGATGTAAAGTATACTTATTTATTTATTGCTAAACAATGGCACTTTGCTTGGCAAAGTGTCGACCGGAAGAGACGACGAAGCCAGATCCAGGCGATCAACCCAGCGGAAAATGGACTTCGGACGTTGTGTCTGAGGACCAGACGAGCAACAGAGAGGATGAAGGCTCCCAGTAATGCACCATTTACTGTCATCAAAAGGATCACGGAAGCCGAGGTTCTAGAAGCCTGAAGGAACTTTCCCAGCGGGTAACGCCATCTGTGGAACATATTGGAGAGGCGACAAGAAGCCTTCAAAACGGCAGACTGTGTGGAAACTATGAAGGCACTTCGGCATCTTCGGATCCCTGTATACCTCGTCAGGATAGTGGACAGGGTACTGACGAGACGATCAAGGAGCCCAGCTCATAAAATGGAGTTCCGCAGGGGTAGGTGCCAGGACCGATCCTGTTTAGCACGATGTACGACGGAGTTCCGAGACTTAGCTTGCCCGAGAACATGACGATTGTGGTGTTCGCCGACGATTTGGCCATCCTAGATGTGACCAAGGAACAGGAGGTGGCGGAAGCAGCAAACTGGGCAAACGAGACAAGACCGAGGACAGCAGCAGGTAGAAGGTGCAGTTAGCAAAGGTTTCAGTCTGTGATCACGATATCACATCATGAATCAGGATCGCCTGCGCATTGTGGACCATATCCTGGTCATCCCGGGACTTTTCCCACTAGTGGAGCATTGAGGGAATAAGACATCAAGGTGTGGCTGGAGTGGAAGCAAGGCCAGGTGGATTTCAACTCTAATAGATGCTGAGTGAACCTGGTTGCCTTCGATCATACCTAACGCGGTTTGGCCACGAAACGGACGACTGATGCCCAGCTTGCGTCCGAGGCATTAGGCAAAACGCCCACCACGTCCTCTTTGAGGGCCACCAGGGTCATCAGTGAATACTTGCAACAATGTGTTGATACAGTAGTCAGGATGCGAAATTTGCTTGCTGTAGCTTTGATAGTCTCTGATATCCAGGAGCTCATCTAGACGGACGGACAAACAGACATAGACTCGACTTTTGATGCAGATCTAGAATAGATATACCTCATGGGGTCTTACTTAAAACGTATGGTGTGATTGTAATATGAGCAAAATATTTTCGCTTTATATAAAATTGATGATACAAATTCCAAGTTTATGATACTGTAATTAATTGCGTCGGGTTTCAATAGCATTAAGCACCAGTCAATAAAACCCAGGCATTAAACACTCAATGCATGCACCGTTTAGTTTGTAACTTGCTTTTGTGGCAAATTTACAAATTTACAGGGTTGTTACTGTGCCTTGCGGATGAAAGATCATGCAGGTTTGGAGCTGCAGGTAGCAACCTTTCGGACTTTGCCGCTAGGGTACAGATTAACTCCATATAACGCTCTTCAAACTTCGAAGAAAGGGGTTTGGTTTGGGAAATGTCTTCCGCACCCCCTGTGCAGATGCTTCTGAAAGTATATACGCGTCTTTTCGCTTCCGAATCTTTCTTAAAGTTCTGCTACATAGATTTCAAAGCTTGGTGACGATCTTTCTGAACGTTCACCACCTTTTGCAGAGTAACTTCTTCCGACATCTAATTCGACACCATTCGACACCGGTGTTAAGCCGCGTTTACTTTATTTCACATATAAACTCATAACTCTGCACAACTCATCACTCAATACAAAATTTGCTTAAAAATTGCAAGTAACATTCCTCGCGCAAAAACTCACTCAAATTCTCTATACTTACTCGAACCGAACGCAGGCGATTAGAACCTACCGAAGACAGCGAGGAGAGTGTGGCGACGAGCAATTTCCACTTCGAAATTGCATGCGTTTTTCAGATGAGTTCATTAAAAGGCGGTCTTGGGGCGTCGATGTGTTTGCAGATGGGTCCCACCATAGTCCACCATGTACAGTTGTGTCTCCTTGGATGTAAGTATGTCCAAATTTCCAGCAGTCAATGAAGGAAGGTTCCATTCCGAGACAGAATGTCCATGCATGGACCGCGTTGCTCGTGGTGGTGAAGGATAGCCACTACAAATGAATTTTTTCATTCTGGCTTTAATTCAATCTGATCCTAGCTAGGGAATCTGATAGATATGTCCATTCTCTAAGATAGTGCGTTTTTGGTTTTCTCTTATCTTCATAATTGTGCATACCACATAATTTTGAATTGTGAATTTTGAAATACACTTGTGACAGTATATTATCACAGCATTGTGGATGAAAAGCTTAAGTGGTCATGCTCTTATGGTCGGAAGACGGACAGACAGGCAGATAGACGGAAAGACAGACACACATACAGACGGACAGACAGACATTGGCTCGGCTATTGATGCTGATCAAAGATATATACATATATACTTTGTAGGGGCGTAAATGTTTCCTTCTGTGTGCTAAATACTTCGACCAAAAATCTAGTATAGCCCTAAAATCTTCGAGCACAGGGTATAACGAGGAGCAACGTTGTGGTTCTCGCTAAGATGCGTCACTACTTTTATACCCGGCAGTCAGTCAGTACTATTATGCCGAAATTTTAATGTTTTTTTCTGTTTACACTTTTTTGCTAAATATGTCATCTACATCAACAGCAGTTTTCAGACCAACACTTAGTTTCAGATCACTGTTCTCAGCCAGAGGACAAAGTGTGCAAGCTACAGAGAGCTGGCTCATCGCTAAAGGGGGTAAGGGTGGCCACTGAAAATGAATTTCTTCAATCTACATACACATCTAAATCCAATCTGATCTTAGTTCGGGAATCTGATGTGATTGGGTTTTGGGTTTTGGGTTTTCTTGTGTAAGAAATGTGAAATCACAGCAGCTCGATTGCCTCTGAGAACCAGGCCCTCATCGAT